AATAGACTTATTCATCCCTGGGGAATAGCCTCAGGCTGAATCCGTGATCTGCAGCCTTCAAAATCTAAGAAAAATGGTCATTCCAGGAAACGCCCGAAATCGGTGATGGTACCCCTTTAGAATCTGCCAAAAATGGCCCCTGAAGTATTCCGTCCGAATCGGTGTTTAATAGACTTATTCATCCCCGGGGAATAGCCTCAGGCTGAATCCGTGATCTGCAGCCTTCAAAATCTAAGAAAAATGGTCATTCCAGGAAACGCCCGAAATCGGTGATGGTACCCCTTTAGAATCTGCCAAAAATGGCCCCTGAAGTATTCCGCCCGAATCGGTTTTTAATAGACTTATTCATCCCTGGGGAATAGCCTCAGGCTGAATCCGTGATCTGCAGCCTTCAAAATCTATGGAAAATGGCCATTCCAGAAATCGCCCGAAATCGGTGATGGTACCCCTTTGGAATCTGCCAAAAATGGCCCCTGAAGTATTCCGCCCGAATCGGTGTTTAATAGACTTATTCATCCCTGGGGAATAGCCTCAGGCTGAATCCGTGATCTGCAGCCTTCAAAATCTAAGAAAAATGGTCATTCCAGGAAACGCCCGAAATCGGTGATGGTACCCCTTTAGAATCTGCCAAAAATGGCCCCTGAAGTATTCCGCCCGAATCGGTGTTTAATAGACTTATTCATCCCTGGGGAATAGCCTCAGGCTGACTCCGTGATCTGCAGCCTTCAAAATCTATGGAAAATGGCCATTCCAGAAATCGCCCGAAATCTGTGATGGTACCCCTTTGGAATCTGCCAAAAATAGCCCCTGAAGTATTCCGCCCGAATCGTTGTTTAATAGACTTATTCATCCCTGGGGAATAGTCTCAGGCTGAATTCGTGATCTGCAGCCTTCAAAATCTATGGAAAATGGCCATTCCAGAAATCGCCCGAAATCGGTGATGGTACCCCTTTGGAATCTGCCAAAAATGGCCCCTGAAGTATTCCGCCAGAATTAGTGTTTAATAGACTTATTCATCCCTGGGGAATAGCTTCAGGCTAACTCCGTGATCTGCAGCCTTCAAAATCTATGGAAAATGGCCATTCCAGGAAACGCCCGAAATCGGTGATGGTACCCCTTTGGAATCTGCCAAAAATGGCTCCTGAAGTATTCCGCCTGAATCGGTGTTTAATAGACTTATTCATCCCTGGGGAATAGCCTCAGGCTGAATCCGTGATCTGCAGCCTTCAAAATCTAAGAAAAATGGTCATTCCAGGAAACGCCCGAAATCGGTGATGGTACCCCTTTAGAATCTGCCAAAAATGGCCCCTGAAGTATTCCGCCCGAATCGGTGTTTAATAGACTTATTCATCCCTGGGGAATAGCCTCAGGCTGAATCCGTGATCTGCAGCCTTCAAAATCTATGGAAAATGGCCATTCCAGAAATCGCCCAAATCGGTGATGGTACCCCTTTGGAATCTGCCAAAAATGGCCCCTGAAGTATTCCGCCCGAATCGGTGTTTAATAGACTTATTCATCCCTGGGGAATAGCCTCAGGCTGAATCCGTGATCTGCAGTCTTCAAAATCTAAGAAAAATGGTCATTCCAGGAAACGCCGGAAATCGGTGATGGTACCCCTTTAGAATCTGCCAAAAATGGCCCCTGAAGTATTCCGCCCGAATCGGTGTTTAATAGACTTATTCATCCCCGTGGAATAGCCTCAGGCTGAATCCGTGATCTGCAGCCTTCAAAATCTAAGAAAAATGGTCATTCCAGGAAACGCCCGAAATCGGTGATGGTACCCCTTTAGAATCTGCCAAAAATGTCCCCTGAAGTATTCCGCCCGAATCGGTGTTTAATAGACTTATTCATCCCTGGGGAATAGCCTCAGGCTGAATCCGTGATCTGCAGCCTTCAAAATCTATGGAAAATGGCCATTCCAGAAATCGCCCGAAATCGGTGATGGTACCCCTTTGGAATCTGCCAAAAATGGCCACTGAAGTATTCCGACAGAATCGGTGTTTAATAGACTTATTCATCCCTGGGGAATAGCCTCAGGCTGAATTCGTGATCTGCAGCCTTCAAAATCTAAGAAATATGGTCATTCCAGGAAACGCCCGAAATCGGTGATGGTACCCCTTTGGAATCTGCCAAAAATGGCTCCTGAAGTATTCCGCCTGAATCGGTGTTTAATAGACTTATTCATCCCTGGGGAATAGCCTCAGGCTGAATCCGTGATCTGCAGCCTTCAAAATCTATGGAAAATGGCCATTCCAGAAATCGCCCGAAATCTGTGATGGTACCCCTTTGGAATCTGCCAAAAATAGCCCCTGAAGTATTCCGCCCGAATCGTTGTTTAATAGACTTATTCATCCCTGGGGAATAGTCTCAGGCTGAATTCGTGATCTGCAGCCTTCAAAATCTATGGAAAATGGCCATTCCAGAAATCGCCCGAAATCGGTGATGGTACCCCTTTGGAATCTGCCAAAAATGGCCACTGAAGTATTCCGCCCGAATCGGTGTTTAATAGACTTATTCATCCCTGGGGAATAGCTTCAGGCTGACTCCGTGATCTGAAGCCTTCAAAATCTATGGAAAATGGCCATTCCAGAAATCGCCCAAAATCGGTGATGGTACCCCTTTGGAAGCTGCCAAAAATGGCCCCTGAAGTATTCCGCCCGAATCGGTGTTTAATAGACTTATTCATCCCTGGGGAATAGCCTCAGGCTGAATCCGTGATCTGCAGCCTTCAAAATCTAAGAAAAATGGTCATTCCAGGAAACGCCCGAAATCGGTGATGGTACTCCTTTGGAATCTGCCAAAAATAGCCCCTGAAGTATTCCGCCCGAATCGTTGTTTAATAGACTTATTCATCCCTGGGGAATAGTCTCAGGCTGAATTCGTGATCTGCAGCCTTCAAAATCTATGGAAAATGGCCATTCCAGAAATCGCCCGAAATCTGTGATGGTACCACTTTGGAATCTGCCAAAAATAGCCCCTGAAGTATTCCGCCCGAATCGGTGTTTAATAGACTTATTCATCCCTGGGGAATAGTCTCAGGCCGAATTCGTGATCTGCAGCCTTCAAAATCTATGGAAAATGGCCATTCCAGAAATCGCCCGAAATCGGTGATGGTACCCCTTTGGAATCTGCCAAAAATGGCCACTGAAGTATTCCGCCCGAATCGGTGTTTAATAGACTTATTCATCCCTGGGGAATAGCTTCAGGCTAACTCCGTGATCTGCAGCCTTCAAAATCTAAGAAATATGGTCATTCCAGGAAACGCCCGAAATCGGTGAAGGTACCCCTTTGGAATCTGCCAAAAATGGCTCCTGAAGTATTCCGCCTGAATCGGTGTTTAATAGACTTATTCATCCCTGGGGAATAGCCTCAGGCTGAATCCGTGATCTGCAGCCTTCAAAATCTAAGAAAAATGGTCATTCCAGGAAACGCCCGAAATCGGTGATGGTACCCCTTTAGAATCTGCCAAAAATGGCCCCTGAAGTATTCCGCCCGAATCGGTGTTTAATAGACTTATTCATCCCTGGGGAATAGCCTCAGGCTGAATCCGTGATCTGCAGCCTTCAAAATCTATGGAAAATGGCCATTCCAGAAATCGCCCGAAATCGGTGATGGTACCCCTTTGGAATCTGCCAGAAATGGCCCCTGAAGTATTCCGCCCGAATCGGTGTTTAATAGACTTATTCGTCCCTGGGAATAGCCTCAGGCTGAATTCGTGATCTGCAGCCTTCAAAATCTATGGAAAATGGCCATTCCATAAATCGATCGAAATCGGTGATGGTACCCCTTTGGAATCTGCCAAAAATGGCCACTGAAGTATTCCGCCAGAATTGGTGTTTAATAGACTTATTCATCCCTGGGGAATAGCTTCAGGCTAACTCCGTGATCTGCAGCCTTCAAAATCTATGGAAAATGGCCATTCCAGGAAACGCCCGAAATCGGTGATGGTACCCCTTTGGAATCTGCCAAAAATGGCTCCTGAAGTATTCCGCCTGAATCGGTGTTTAATAGACTTATTCATCCCTGGGGAATAGCCTCAGGCTGAATCCGTGATCTGCAGCCTTCAAAATCTAAGAAAAATGGTCATTCCAGGAAACGCCCGAAATCGGTGATGGTAACCCTTTGGAATCTGCCAAAAATGGCCACTGAAGTATTCCGCCCGAATCGGTGTTTAATAGACTTATTCATCCCTGGGCAATAGCTTCAAGTTGACTCCGTGATCTGCAGCCTTCAAAATCTATGGAAAATGGCCATTCCAGAAATCGCCCGAAATCGGTGATGGTACCCCTTTGGAATCTGCCAAAAATGGCCACTGAAGTATTCCGCCAGAATCGGTGTTTAATAGACTTATTCATCCCTGGGGAATAGCCTCAGGCTGAATTCGTGATCTGCAGCCTTCAAAATCTAAGAAAAATGGTCATTCCAGGAAACGCCCGAAATCGGTGATGGTACCCCTTTAGAATCTGCCAAAAATGGCCCTTGAAGTATTCCGCCCGAATCGGTGTTTAATAGACTTATTCATCCCTGGGGAATAGCCTCAGGCTGAATCCGTGATCTGCAGCCTTCAAAATCTAAGAAAAATGGTCATTCCAGGAAACGCCCGAAATCGGTGATGGTACCCCTTTAGAATCTGCCAAAAATGGCCCCTGAAGTATTCCGCCCGAATCGGTGTTTAATAGACTTATTCATCCCTGGGGAATAGCCTCAGGTTGAATCCGTGATCTGCAGCCTTCAAAATCTATGGAAAATGGCCATTCCAGAAATCGCCCGAAATCGGTGATGGTACCCCTTTGGAATCTGCCAAAAATGGCCCCTGAAGTATTCCGCCCGAATCGGTGTTTAATAGACTTATTCATCCCTGGGGAATAGCCTCAGGCTGAATTCGTGATCTGCAGCCTTCAAAATCTATGGAAAATGGCCATTCCAGAAATCGATCGAAATCGGTGATGGTACCCCTTTGGAATCTGCCAAAAATGGCCACTGAAGTATTCCGCCAGAATTGGTGTTTAATAGTCTTATTCATCCCTGGGGAATAGCTTCAGGCTAACTCCGTGATCTGCAGCCTTCAAAATCTATGGAAAATGGCCATTCCAGAAATCGCCCGAAATCTGTGATGGTACCCCTTTGGAATCTGCCAAAAATAGCCCCTGAAGTATTCCGCCCGAATCGTTGTTTAATAGACTTATTCATCCCTGGGGAATAGTCTCAGGCTGAATTCGTGATCTGCAGCCATCAAAATCTATGAAAAATGGCCATTCCAGAAATCGATCGAAATCGATGATGGTACCCCTTTGGAATCTGCCAAAAATGGCCACTGAAGTATTCCGCCCGAATCGATGTTTAATAGACTTATTCATCCCTGGGGAATAGCTTCAGGCTGACTCCGTGATCTGCAGCCTTCAAAATCTATGGAAAATGGCCATTCCAGAAATCGATCGAAATCGGTGATGGTACCCCTTTGGAATCTGCCAAAAATGGCCACTGAAGTATTCCGCCAGAATTGGTGTTTAATAGACTTATTCATCCCTGGGGAATAGCTTCAGGCTAACTCCGTGATCTGCAGACTTCAAAATCTATGGAAAATGGCCATTCCAGAAATCGCCCGAAATCTGTGATGGTACCCCTTTGGAATCTGCCAAAAATAGCCCCTGAAGTATTCCGCCCGAATCGGTGTTTAATAGACTTATTCATCCCTGGGGAATAGCCTCAGGCTGAATCCGTGATCTGCAGCCTTCAAAATATATGGAAAATGGCCATTCCAGAAATCGCCCGAAATCTGTGATGGTACCCCTTTGGAATCTGCCAAAAATGGCCACTGAAGTATTCCGCCCGAATCGGTGTTTAATAGACTTATTCATCCCTGGGGAATAGCCTCAGGCTGAATTCGTGATCTGCAGCCATCAAAATCTATGAAAAATGGCCATTCCAGAAATCGATCGAAATCGATGATGGTACCCCTTTGGAATCTGCCAAAAATGGCCACTGAAGTATTCCGCCCGAATCGGTGTTTAATAGACTTATTCATCCCTGGGGAATAGCTTCAGGCTGACTCCGTGATCTGCAGCCTTCAAAATCTATGGAAAATGGCCTTTCGATTTTTTTTTCTTACTTTTAATTACATTTTGGTATCTAGAACTTCTAAAAACACCACAAACAATATTAATTCAATAAATATCAACTTAGAAACCAAAAATTATCAAATCATTTTAAGTTTTTTAAATTCTATTTTTTGGTTAATTTGAAAATGATAAATAATAGAAATTAGAAAAATAATTTGAATTTGCTTATTTTATTAATTTTTTGGATTTTTTGGTTAATTTGAAAATAATAAATACTAGAAATTAGAAAAATAATTTGAATATGTATTTTTTACTGATTTTTAGGCTAACGAGAAAATGACATGGTGTGTTGACTAACAACCAATCAATGTATCGGGTCAATTGAGTCTATATACTACAAAGTTGAGACTAGAATGTTAATTCTGAAACCACATGTCATATAATCATTGATTATATGATCATAATTTGGGTCAACCCCAATTAAAATAATAGCTAGCTGCGTTACGAATTGCTATCACAACCAAAATGGGGACTGGTAACGAAAAGGAAAGCTATGGCACAGAACATGACGTAGCTGGTCTCAAACTACAGAACATGACGTAGTATAGCACAGCAATGGCACAGAATACAATCAGTGACCGAACCATCCCCCAGTGGAGGCTTCACTCTTTCCTCACTGAAACATGCTGTTAGACTGCTTTCTTCACGATCGCTGCGTACAACTGACGCCTGTGAATTAACTATATAGGATAAGAGTATCCGCGGAGATATTTGGAATCCACGCCTGATTCGCGAACGAGAGCTATTCTTCCAGTTCGTGCAACCTGCAGGTAGAGGAGCAAGACATTTTCAGTCACATAAACACACAGTTTTGAGGTGCATCGGCAAAAGAAAGGACGAGAAGAAAGAACCTCGCATATGCCAAAGGGTTCCAACAATCTCTGCAGAGCAACCATCTTGTCCAGATCTCCCGTAAGCTGCAACAAGTGTTGTTGGAAAGTGAATTCATCGGAGTCAAATTTTTGCCATTTTGAGAAGCCATGAAGTCGAGGTTGGGGTCTACAAAGGAAACAAATATGCAGTCCTATTATGTTTGAGACAGCCAGTCACTAACCTCGAGGGTTATGGTGTGGTCAGAGACATCAACTGCTTTTGCCCTGAAAATGGTGGCAATATCAAGGACGTCGCGGCGAGCGGCAGCGTTCACTGCAATCTTGATCAACATTAGTTCACGTTCAGCGAATGGCGAGGAGGTAAGATCGTGAACCTGAAAAGGGAGTAGACTGTTAGTTGTGATGGAAAGTACTCTGCCAATAATACTTCCAAATTGATTTTTCAACCCAAAAATAATCAGCAGCACTGAAGAGCATGATGATTAATAAGTTAAACACGTCCAAGACAGATACGTTCTTATGTACAGTAAATAGAACAGGTTGCTAAAACTCGCCTCTGACTATGTAAGGCAATGTATAAGGAAATAGTAAGTTTGTTAACATAGCAATTCCGCCACTTACCTCATGAAGGTCTACTAGCTTATACAGTTGCTGCACCAACTTACTGACCGATTCATCTGTAGCAGGTACGACAGTTGTAATACGCGAGAGGCCCTCCTTCTCAGAATGCCCAACGGCTAAACTCTAACGACCATGAAGAAAAGACAGTCAACACAATGTCCGAGCATATTAATGTCATAAAGAATAGCTAAAAGCACTAATAGTTAACATACCTGAATATTATAACCTCGTCGAGAAAAAACTCCAGTAACAAGGTTGAGAACTCCAGGGACATCATTTACAAGCATGGACAAAGTATGTGATCGAAGACCACTTGTCTGAATAAAATAATCAACACTTCTCATTAATCTATTCGACGAACTGAACTGTAAACAGAAGCAAGCTTTCTTACATCTTCCTCATTGAGGACACCCCAGTGTGCATCAAGAACTCGATGAACTGGAAAGCCATCAGACTGCTCCACAGGATAAACATCTCCCTGGATTAACAAGAAAAATTACATAAAAATCAAACAAATTAGTAATTCCAGCAAATCAGAACCAAGAAAACCAATTGAAGGCAAAATGACATCAGGAAATATAGTAACAAACTTGATTTCTAGAAACAAGCATACATAAAGGGTGAGACCAAACGGAAACAGAAACATTCACAGAATGTGGTAGTCAAAAAGTCCTTTACTGAGTTGAGGATAATTATCATTGAAAAGTGAACCACTCAGTCACCAATATGGAAAGTAACAAACAGTCAATACTCATGGTAAATTATGGCATCAACTTCACTGCATACCCCTGCAGTCGTATCAGCTTCAGTGATGACTGCTCTACTTGTAACCGCTGAGAATCCATTGTCAGCCCCATTCTCTCCGAGATCAGGATACGAAGAGGCAGAGAATCGCCAAAAGGGAGCAGTGGCACCCATTTTTTCTCTTCTCAATGCAATCTAAGGCAAGGAGGAAGTTCATACATTAGCATAGATGAGTTGGAAACAAGAGCATTATGATGAGAACAGATCTCAAAAGCAACCTTGCCAGTTCTAGCAATTTCTTTGATTCCAAACTTGCTTAGATTTCTCTGCACAGCAACCATTTTCCCTGGGTCTCCAGTCACCTAAAAACCCAAAACAGAATTAAAAAGCAGAATATGCTACCAGGATGCAAACCCTACTTCTCAAAGAGTGCAAAGGTTGATTGCAGAAAAAAGATCAAATTTTTTAAACATATCGATTCCACTAGTCACTTTTCAGGGAAGAATTTATAGATTCCATTGCACTTTCGATCATGTGAGACGTCCTGCCACTGCACCCTTCTAAAGATCATAAGCCATAATCAGTCCTCAACTGAATTGAACAATTAAAAAAGGCAATAAACGAAAAATGCAAGCAATATAGAATGATGAAATCATCCACATCCCACATGATCTATCAATCAGTCTGGCAGAAACATTCTCAGTGATACTCAAGTTCAAGAATCATAACCTCAATTGTGACTGACTGCTCTGAGATATCAACGATTTTCGCCCTAAAGATGTCCACCAACCACTTGATCTGAAATTCAAACCCAGACTAGAATCAATTAGTAAACAAGACATCAAGAAATAAAACAAGCTCCTCACCGGAAAGGGGGGAAACATACACTTAGCGACAGTCAACACACAGCAAAAGCAAAAACCAGCTAACCTCAGCACGGTGCTCAGTTTCAGCGTTCACTTTTATAAGCATCAGTTCGCGCTCAACCTGAGGCTCACTGGAGAGATCTTCAACCTATCCAAATGGCAAGCACATTACATAAAGAACCGAAGAACCCAACAAAACACAACTCACACCTAAAATGTAAACGAAAGAGAGGTTAAAAAAAACCACCTTCAAGACATTGACGAGCTTCTGAAGCTGCTCCACGACCTGCTGCAGCACCCTCTCCGTTCCGGAAACGACAATGGTGAAGAGCGCCTTGTCCTTGTTCAAACCAACGGCAAGCGACTCAATGTTGTAACCTCTCCTGGCGAAAACTCCGGCAATCCTATTAATCATCCCGCTCTCATCGCCGACGAAGACGGAGATCGTGTGCCGCCGCACCCTACAGCAAAGGACCAATACGAATTCCAGAACAGAGCGAAACGCTACTTCTTCCAATCAAACAACATACTACAAATGATGAATTAGCAATTACTTGGATCTCGGAGCCGGAGACGGCGGCGGGGAGCTGGAAGAGGATAGAGCGGCAGCATCGGCGTTTGCGGCTGCGGCGGCTAGGAAATTCTCCCGGCGAGGGACGGAGTTGTTGTTGAATGATGTTGAGAGGAACGGATAAGCAGGTTTGAAGACCAGGAAAGCTGGTGAAGGTGAATCAGAAGGATAAGAAGAGGAGGAGAGAGATAGGGAAGGAAGAGGCGCGGAGGCGATTGGAGAAATGGCCGCCATTAGAGCGCGCATGCTGTTCTTTCTTTGGAGCTCGAGTGAACGGCGGGGTCAGTTTATTTTCGCAAGTGGGAAAATGGCGGTGTGGTTATACTGGTTAGTGAAGTCGCTGAAAAAGAAACGCGTTTCTTTTTTTGCCGAAAAGGGCGTTGGGGACTTTGGCACGTTTACATCATGCACCAACTTTCCAAATAGCCCGGCCCAAACAATTATTTTAACAGACCGGCCCAAACTGATTTCACTAACCCATCTAAATGGGTTTTGCCACTTTGTATCCATGGGCTTTACTACAGGTCTTAACTAAAGAGGGCTGACAATCCATCACAGTAACCAAATAACAATTTGACCCATATCATTAACTCTCGGTTTACGAATGGAACAAAAATGAATATGGATCGAACCAAAATAACATTGGTTTCAGTTCAATTATGTCTAATTTCAATCAACCTTTTTTGTTCAACTATTTTAAAGAAATGATGCCTAACTATATCTAAAGAAAATTGAGAATTAGAATCGAGTGAACATATATTTTGATATACGATCCGATCATATCCAAACATCGACTTTTAGTCCATTGTGGGGGAACTCTGTAACCACTAGTTTCAACTTGCATTAAACAGAGTATAATACAAGGAAGAAAGAAAGTGAAGGAGAAGAGAGGGAGATGATGGATTGATTTGTGGAACCCTGACAAAAGCAAAGCAAAAGGGAACCAAAACAAAAAAAGGAAAAGGCTAGTTGGAGTGGGGAAGGGAGGACTGGGCAATTTGGCCATCCATGGCCATGAGCACAGCAACAAAGCACCAATAAAAATATGTGTATACTCTTGATCTAGAAAAAGAGAAAGCAAAAGGGTGGTATGTGAATGAATTTTGCCAATCCATCAAGCCATTCTGCTCATCATATCATATCACCACCACCTCATCACCATCATCATATCTCCCTCAAAAACTTTGTTTGAAAACCCCACTTTTTTAAACTGTCTCCTTTCTTTTCTCTTCTCATCAGCATTTCCCTTCCCCCAACATTCCTCCTCCATTGATGCTGCTTCTTGTTGTTGTTGTTGTTGTTTTTGTTCTGTATCTCCATTCTTCATCTTCTTTCTTATGTTCATATGCAAGATCCAGCAGACACCTCCTCCCTACAGAGCTCAAGGTACTTTGCCTATGTTTCATCTTTCCAACAGGTGAGGGTTTGGATGGATTGTGTGCATGGGGATATGAGTTTGTAAGTGTTGCTTGTACATTTGTATTTGCTGGCTCGATTTTCGTTAAGCGTCGGTGATCGGTGTGGGTCCCATGATTTGAACTTGAAGTGATGGATTGTGCACTACCTCGAGTGGATTCAATACTTGTGCATTACCTTGATGATTGTGTGATTGTGATTATTATTGTTTTTTTCTTAATTGTGATTTCGGGTATGAACACTGACGATTTATATAGAATAAGTGAATATTTGTGGGAAAAAAGAGAGCACAAACAGACGTTCTAAGAGTAATAAGAGTAAGTTTAGCCATGTTAGCATGATCAATGAAGCCCAACCAATGAACCAATTGACATTTCTTTTTGAATGGATCAACCACTAATACATTATTCATTGTTTAATGTTATGGTATATTTTTATAAGTAACCCAAACCGTTTAGTTATTTTGCAAGTTCATTGCTTTTGGTCAGAAGTTGTTGAGCTTGAACTGTTCTCCTAATTAAGAAAGGCAAGGAAATCTTTTAGTCAATTGAAGAAATTTAAATTAGGTTTTAAGTTATTTCCATCCCATATATATAATAATTCATTGTTCTAGATGGGTTCATGAATCTTAATTTAATTCATTAGAAAAAGTTGTATCATCATTGTTTGAAGTTGTATCAATATGAATGACTTGCATTTCTTGAATGCCAGGAAACCCACCTGGTACCAAAAAGCCCTAAACATGGCTTCTCATTGGAGAGTCATTCCAAGGTCCCAAGAGATTACTTCCACTCCAAGATTGTGGAGATCTCCCACTACAAAATCATCCAAAGAACTTTTCCCTACAACCAACCCCAATAACACCAACAACCCTAGCAAAGGAATTAACAAGCTAAGAAAGTGCACATCCATGAGAGTTGCAACCTCATTCACTAGGGTTTGTCTCTGTGCACCCATCTCGTCTTACAACAAAGTGTTTCAGGCTGATTTCCCACCGAGGAGAAGCAACAGTTACCCTAGATCATCAAAAACGTTTCTCGTCCCGCAAGAAAGAATGATACCGCAACCGAATCCTGCCAGGCTTAGCACGGAAGGTAGGAGGTCGCTTTTTCGGGGGCAATCTTTGAATGACGATGTGCTTATGAGGAGATTTGTGCTCGAAGAAGAAGCAATGATGGAGGTTAGGAGAAGGACAAATCAAATGGAGATTATTAGGAGGAGGAGTAGTGTGATGATGAGGAAGAAGAAGCTCGGGCCTAGCCGTCTGAGCCAAATGGTGATTGCTGAGGTGGATCATGAGACCATTCAATATTGAGTTTGATTATAACTTCATTTTTTAGACAGATTAAGTTTAATTATAACTTGATTGTAAATTTTGTTAGCCGTTTTGCAATAAAATGTTGCAATGTTTAGGGTTTAGGGCATTGTTGTGGTGGATTATCTAAAATTTCCAAAGGGAAGATCTCAAATTGGTGCGCAAACCAGAGACATTATCAAGTAAAACTGTCCATGTACTCTCATAGTCTCATCTAGTAGACTCTTCGTCTACAAGCAAAGCATGAGTTTATTTCCTTCCAACACAAGTCAAGTTACATCATCTTTACTTACACTACAAGTAAGATAAATTGCATAGTTTGCTTCAACGTTTCTATATTCTTCTTCCTCTGTGTCACTAATTCATATAACCGCGAGAACAAAATTGTGTAGCTCCGAGAATGTACAATGTGAGACAACAATGGCAGGGTATTGCATTGATTCAACTGTACCAATCAAGAAAAAAGATTGAAAATGTAAGCACAAACAGACTAAAGCACAAGAAATGTCCTGCCACTGCTATGTGCTATGCCTATGATTGGTTTTCAGGGTAGCAGGAAGAATGGAGGGATTCAGAGGGTTTGGTGTTTGTGACTTAGAACAAAATTAGGCATGTCTTCTATTTAGTTTACATGTGTTTCCTCTGTATAATGAGCAGTAATGTACACTGGCAAATACTTCAAACTAACTAGACGTCTCAACTTGTCTTCTGAGTCAATCAGGAGGAGATACATTATTTCGGACCACCGGTAAGGCCATAACTGAAAGTACACTAGGTATAAAGTTAACATTTCAAAAACTCTTCATATAATACCACAAGAAAAGAACCTCAAACTCCATTACATCGTCATCTCTACAACTAATGGTTGTTCTTAAAAAGAAAAGCAGGGCAAAACCGTCCTAAAAGCACTAATTATACAACGAACACTGTAACCAACCTCTCCAACCGTGTGTGCTTCAGCCCCCTGTCACAATCCTGCACGAAAATGAGGGGAGACCCCTATTCAACGAAGAGAAAGGAGAGCAATGAATGAAAATCAGTTGAGAAAACTTATTCATCCAGTTAAAGTGTGATACTTGTCATAATAACGCATGGATTCAGTTCACTCTCCAACTAAAATGCAGACGCAGGGCAATATTACTCACTAAACCCACATAACGATATATAACCTCGACTTAGCACGCTATATGCACAAAAAGTATAGCAAAGTTGGTCTTACAGCAACGGACAAACTGCTAATGGTCGGTCAGACATACATCATTATGGCCCCGGTTAGCTAGTACTAATCTAGTTGAGGGCAACGAACTTTCAGATGCCAATACATATAACCAACTTTATGAGTGTCTTCTGGGTTCATTTTACTTACCTTAGCAGCAGGAGATTTCACCCAGACACAAGCTTTACAACAATGCATATGGAGTTGAGTATGATGAGGGGAACTCTCATGTACTGCGTTGCGTAAATAAGACCTATAAGCTGCCCCTTGAAAGACTTTGTTCGGCCTTCCGAGAATTCAGAGAAGCTCCATCCTCTAGGTCCGAGGAAACGGTCTTCGTTTAGTATGGCTAATGCATTTGCAAGTAGCAGACACCCCTCTAACAAAGTCCACAAACCCATGTCCTGCAGCCATTGTACACACAACAACACTCAGTAATCTTGATCTACCAAAACCCCACGCACCAGAATTATCAACCAGAAACTCCAGTAGCAACATCAATCAGAAACCCTAGTGAAAACCTAAAAGTAATGCAATGTGCAAAATTAACGAACTTGTGGAGCATTAAAGAAGCCACTCAGCACCGACGAGAATTCTCAATCGCTGCACATTTCCTGGATTAATCATGAGCATTGGACCCAAAAATTGAAATCCTCAGCTCACCAGTGAGCCCCACGTAACTCCCAAACTAATTTCAGAGAAAGCTCGATCAAAATAGGAAAAAGACCTATGATCTGGCATTTGAACACAATGCCCATTTCATCCCAGAATCCAGAAATGACATAATCAAGAAAATCCAGATTGAAATTGAAGAGCGCAAGCAAGAAGCAAACGAAAGTGATTCACAGAGAAGAGAGAGCGGGAAAGAAGTAAGATACCCTGGGAAGAATTGCTTCGGAGTTGGATTCCCAGAGAACGTCCGGCGACTGAAGAGCTAACGTAGAAATTGTGTAGTTAGATCGGACATGTGCGAACTGACTGACTTTGTATAAGTTGTTGGGTTGGGCCCGAGAAGGATGTGGGCTTGTTACTTGTTTTATCCAGTTGGTTTAACTAGAAATGGACCACTCACAAATTGGGTTGGCTTATATGGGCCGGACTGATATCATGGGTATCAATCCATACCAAACTACGACTCGAGCAGTGTTGCTATATCACGATACTTCTAATGTTCGATATGATAAATTATAAAAAATGAAGAAATTGTCCGCGTGTTTTACTTTACAGGTTGAATGTTCGTTTCTTATCAGTCACATTCCATTTTTGCATGACATTTTCCCTTTCTACATCTCATATTTGGTCAACGCAGAGACCAAACATCATTATAAGATCTAAGAACAATCATTCAAAGAACATTTAAAACTAGCTAATCTTTTACTGGTTGAATAGACTCGTCATTTTTATGATTCACATGAGCAAGAGTATTTTAGAAGATATAAATTTAGCTAAGGCATTTATAACACCAAAAAAGTTCCACTAACGGGTATTTGAGCAATTTTTTGTAGCCATTTTTTAATGAGAAGATAGAAGAATGAAGGAGTGGAATTGGGTAGAAGTTTTGAGATAGTATCATAGTACCAATTACCAAACATAACGGTTAAAGAAAGCATATTTCTTTGACATGGGAGCTTAACAAGAAATAGTCTTCCCGTTAAAGCAAAGTTGGTTGAAGTTTTGGTAAAAAAAAAAAGTTGGTTGAAGTTAGGCTCAGCTTGAGTGAGAAAGTGGGCAGCTCAATTCCTTCCTCTCTCTTTCTACTCATTCCCTCCCTCCTCCTCCTCTCTCTCTCTCTCTCCCCACCATAATCATCACCATTTTTTCTCTCTTGTTTCCTCCCATGGAATCATCATCACCATCTTGATTTATAGCAAACCAAAATGGAAAAGGGATACGAAAGAATAGAGAGTGTGTACAAAATGTAAGTTAGAAGAAAAGTTTTGTGGAGAGATACAAATGGCAGTGTGAAGAAACGGTCTAGTGTTGAGATTTTGATAGAGAGACAAGGAGGAAGAGAGGGACAGATAAACAACAACACCACCAACAAAAGGGGGAAAAAACCCATTTATAATTGCTAAAAAAGATATCCACCAGAAAGAACCCACCACCTCTCCACTTCCACCAACACCATCCTTCTATAGGAAAGCCAGGTAGAGAAACAAGAAAGAAAAAGAGCAAGAGCAAGAGCAAAAGCAAAAGCAAAAGAGAGATAATTGAAAGGGTCTTCTCTTCTTTTGCTGGCTGGCTGGTAAAAGGGGTTCTTCTCCTTTGGCTGGCTGGGTCTCTCTGTAGTTTTTGCCTCTCTTCTCTTCTCTTTCCTTTTCCCAACTTTCTTTGCTTCTTGAACCAGCTTTCTGCCATGGTGATTCCTCAACTGGGTCTCCAACCAGGTACTCAATTGCCTCTCCCTTTTCGTTGAGCTTGTTATGTTTTTCTCCTCTCCTTCTCTAAGTTCCTTGCTTTAGCTGTTTCTGTTGGGAATTCTGCTGTTCCTCGATATGATCATCATCTGGGAATATATGGTTAAAAGGTGGGAAGAGTATTTATATAAATAGTAATTCTTTCACTCCTCTTTATCTGGAACTCTGTTTCTCTTGTTTATGTTTGTTGGGGATCCGCATCAAGGAAAGATATTTGTATTTGTATTTTTTTTTTGGTTGTGTGGGGGTTTTCATTTCCTCTGTCTCTTGGATCTGTTGCCTTCATTTTCCTTGTCTGTATTTTGGCTTCTGCAAATTCTTCTGACAGTCTTGTCATGGAGACTGCAAGTAAACAGCTGACTTGTCTAATATATCTCTAGCTGAGGAGGGAGAGATGTTTTTTATAATAATTTTTTATTCTTAATTTCTGTTTCTTGGCATGTTGTTGCTTGTCTATGTATGCTTGCTTGGCTTGGTTACATATGACTTGCTAGTTTGTATTTGGTCATTTGTCTTGGCAAAAACTGGTTCCACTTGTTTGATCACAAAAGAAAGAAAGAAATCTCTGGACTTGGCTCTTACTTGAGAGGGTTTAGATTCCTTTGATTCTTCTTGTTCTGCTCTTATTATTTGGCCTGTTTCCCACTTCAAAGTTCATGAATTTGTGAAGATTGCTTGTTAAATAGCCTGCAAATTGTGGAGTATAGTCAGTAGATTTGTAAATGTCCAATGGGTTTGACAGGTTTCTGGACTTGTTCTTGGGTAATGGGGTTTCGACTATTTTGGTTCTCTCTCTTGACCTGTATTTTGTTTATTTTTAAACCTACTAAGTACTTTTGCTTGTTCCCCACTTCAAGTTAATGAAATTGTCAAATGATTGCTATTATAGATTGATTTGACATGTTCCTTTGGACGGAATGTCTGTTAGTTGAGTACCCCTTACTCTGAAGAACTCTGGCATTCTTTCATCAGAAACTGTAAGATGCTACGAACTGATCAAGGTTTGCTCTGGACTTGCAGAACTAGTGGTACTGCTTACTTCCCCGTCGAGCTGAAAACAGTGATGCGGGAAAGATGGGGAAGAAGGGAAGTTGGTTTTCAGCAATCAAGAGGGTCTTCTTGCCCCATTCCAAGGATAAATTAGCTAATGTAAGTTCTGAAATGTGAAAATTTGATCTCCCAGTAATTATCTGCATTTGCCCTGTTGATTTTGGTAGAAGTGTGAACTATATATCAGAAAGGAAACTACTTTCGAAGTCTAGTGCTTATATGATATTTGAATTCATGTACTTGTCCACTTCAGAGTTGGTGTCTTCTGTTGCATGGCGGTGAATCAATTTTTAGAGCTAATGAAAGGAGAACTAGTTTTTGTATCATGGGCTTGCTTTTGATGATAGGCTATAGGCTGAGGTAGAATTTCCACATCTGTGTATCCTTAGGAAGACTTTGATGATACCTCATAGAATGTAGAGGTCCCTTGGATGATGTGAATATGCTTGCTTTCAATGATCGGTACTAGACATAGGTAGGAGTTCAACATTTGTTTATCCTAAGCATTACCTAAAAGGATACATTATAGAACTTAGAGGTCGTTTCGGTGAACGATCTTCGATTGTTAAATGTGCACTAGACATTTCAAATGCATCCCCCATTCCTTTCAAATGGACGATTTTGTTCAATCCTTCATCCAAAGAGATCCCTTAGGTATTACTGTCCAGACTGTTTCCCCAATTTGCTTATAAGTAAAGACATCAGATGAACATGTAATGACACATTGTTTTGACTTCAATGCAGGAACCAGATAAGAAAAGTAGTAGTAAAGAGAAAAAGAAGAAAGGCATAGGAAAGTTCAGGCAGGGTGAAAGCAGCAGCTCATTTATTCCATTGTTCAGAGAACCGAGCAGTATCGAGAAGATATTGGATGAGGCAGAAAGAGAACACAAACTAACTTTCAGGCCACTAACTCCTCCTGCTGAACAGCCTAGAACTCCAACTTTTGTGCCTCCACCTTCCAGATTAGTTTCTTCTTCTCCACGGGTTCCCTCTCTAAGAGTTAATAGCTCTCCAAGGGCTGCTACTTCTCCAAGAGCCCCATCCCCAAGGGCTGCTGCTTCTCCTAGGCCTCCATCTCCAAGGGCTGCTGCTTCCCCTAGGCCTCCATCTCCAAAGGCTGCTGGTCCTTCAACTTCTGCTAGAGCAACTTCTCCGAAGAATGTGGAGCGTGAGAGGCAAGTATATAGGAGGATTGAGCCAACATTGAGAAACCAGAATGCTTGTGCTACCAAGATCCAAGCAGCTTACAGAGGCTATGTGGTAAGCTTCTTGCCCAAGTTTTCTCATTATTTCCTTATGGATTATTAGATGGAATGACCATGTATGCCAGTAGCAATATGTCAGCAGTGGCTGTTCTCTATGTGGGAGTGGATGCCTGACTCATGACAGTTCTAGTTCTCATCATAAGTTATTTTAACAAACTTATCTATTGCTATATTATGATTTTTCGTAAACCGCCCTGTTTGTGTGAATTTTAATTGAATTCCCATCAGAAGTATAGAGGCAGCACTAGAAGACAGGCATAATATAGAAACATAATCTGATGATGGTTCATCACTCAAATCACATGCAGGCAAGGAGGAGCTTTAGAGCCTTGAAGGGTCTAGTGAGGCTCCAGGGAGTGATCAGAGGACAGAATGTGAAGCGCCAGACAATGAACGCAATGAAATGCATGCAGCTCTTGGTTCGTGTCCAATCCCAGATTCAGTCGCGGAGGATTCAGATGTTGGAAAACCAGGCAAGACAACATAAGAACAATGATAAAGAAGTCGAGTCTCACTTGGGCAAATGGAGCCAAGCTGTAAGTCCATAGTTGCTCTTGTTGTTATTTTGTTTGTTTGTTTGTTCACAATTAGAGACTCATGGCTTGCATTATTAAACAAGTTATGCTTAACTTGTTTGTCAAGTTTGTCGTGATTCCTTCGAGTTCTCATCATGTCGCTCAGACTACTATTTTTGGGTGCATTCTGCAGTCGGAAGCAGGGAATGGGGATGACTGGGACGACAGTGTACTGACAAAAGATCAGGTTGAGGCCAGAATACGGAGTAAAATGGACGCAGTGATCAAGAGAGAAAGAGCAATGGCATATGCATATTCCCACCAGGTACATTACCAACCAGTATGCATTATGCATACAAAACCTTAACTATACACAACGTGAACCATATTCATATATGCATACATTTTCCCCCTCTCCTTCACATTTCAGCTATGGAAGGCCTCTCCGAGGGCAACACAACTATCCCTAACAGACATCCGGTCGAATGGATTCCCATGGTGGTGGAACTGGCTCGAGCGCCAGCTCCCCGCCTCATCATCAAACAACAACCAGGAAAGCCAGCCGACAAAGAGTTTCCACCCCACTCCCACAAGGCCATCATCAGAGGTGAAGCCTAGCCCTGTACATCAACAACATTTCACCTACGACAGCATGGACACCCCCACACCGCGGTCTACAAGGTCCAATGCCAGATTTGTTCGAACGCCGGTCCACAAGATGACCCCAAACAACAATGCAGCAAACAGCTCATCAGGCTTATCGAAGTACTCGAGAGCACGAGGAGGAGGAGGGGGTGATCACTCCTCCCCATCACCATTCAACTTCCCATCCAAGGACGACGACAGCCTGACGAGCTGCCCGCCATTCTCGAGGCCTAACTACATGACTCCAACGGTCTCCGCCAAGGCAAAGGCCCGTGCCAACAGTAACCCAAGGGAGAGGTTCCCTCTCCCTGGTACTCCGAGCAGCGAGAAGAGGAGGGTCTCTTTCCCTTTTGGAGGTGGGCAATCATTCAAGTGGAATGCAGGCAGTTTGTTCTCTTCCAACAGCAACAACAAGGGCTCTGGATCACCAAGGGTGATTGAGAAGCACCAGCCAATTCACTCCATTGGGAATTTGAGTGTTGATTCCACAGTTTCCATGCCTGCTGCTGTTGGGAGAAGGCCATTTAACAGGTTTGTGTGAGTTTGTTTTGAGGTCCCTCCTTCTCATCTTGTATACTTCTGTTGTTGAACATATGTGTTTGCTTCTCTCTGTATGTTTGGTTTCATTTTTGGGTTGTTTTTCATTTTTTGGTTGATGTGGTGTAACTTTGATTGAGTGGATGTGATTGAGACAATTATACTGGTGTAAGATAATAACGGAAAATAGAACATAGTATGTGGTTGCTTCTAGTGCACGGCACGGCAGGAGTCCTCTTTGGGTTCCCACTTTACTCGATGCTTCTGCTGTTGCAGAAATTATGGTGCGCCAATGCGATATTTCGGTCCCAAGCTTCTATGTACGTAATTCAATTCAAATAGATAATACGTAATACGGCTAGCTATTCAAACATTGCCAGGTTGTATTATCAAACCATCATTTCTTCTTCGCTCTTTAGAAGACTAGCTTTGTTCCCGGCCTAAATGGCCGGGTTAGTTTTATAATTATTAATTATTCGAAATTACAATTAAACTAATATTGGTTAGTTTATCATTTGAATTGAGGTAATTTATTTGTGATCATAAAATTTATGTTTATATTAAGTTTTGTTCTAATTTCATCAAAAATTTTATTCTTTTACTTGTGAAGTGGAAAGATTAAAAAAAAATAGAAGTAACATGTTAGACACATTTAATTATATAATAGTCTCAATTTTGTTATAAAAATTAATATACTAAACTGAGTTTATCTTATTAGTTTTGCAATCAATATAATCAAATATAATTTTGTCTTGTTAGAAACTTTATAGTATAACAAATTATTCTTATGATGATTACACACACCAAAATATTTATTAGCAACTCTTTCCTAAATTTAGGGACTAATGTGAAAAAAACTTGTATCACGAGGACTGTAATCGCTATTAGCGGACGCCGTATATTTGAAGGGTTAGCGATTTTCCCACCAAATTTTAGGGATTTCGATATCTGCGCTATTGGTTTCTCTGGCGTTGCCAAGCTACCGCCGACGGCCTTATCTTGCGGCCGGCAGATTGTTCACCGCAATGGGGACCGAGAACGTCACTCCATCTCAGGATGTGCTGCCCAGAAAACGACGGCGGCAGATCTGTTCGATAAACCCTTCTCCTGCCGCTATCAGCAAACTCGGAGACGATCTCCTCGTAGAAATTCTGATCCGCCTCCCGAACCCTGGATCCGCCTGCCGGAGCAAATCCGTCTGCAAGCTGTGGAACTCGCTCGTCTCCGATCCCAGCTTCAATCGCCGTTCCGTTTCTCGCCGCCAGAGCATCAACGAACAAGAGCCGCCGCTGCTTCTTCCCTCGGACGACCCCCAATCGATCGTCCTGAGGTTCCTCCCCGTGCCCGCGGAAGCTCGGGAGTATTTCAGAGTTCTCGATTCCTTCAAAGACTTGGTCCTATGTGGGTTTCGTGAGGCATACTCATACAGGATGAAGGAGGAATTCAGCAGATTGTACTTGGTCTGCAATCCATTTACGAAACAGTGGATCGCCCTTCCCCTTGCCCCTTTCACACGACAGGATGCCAGGTTAGTTTGCGAACCACGCGTTTCTAATAATCTTGATCTAGGAGGAGATGATGATGATGATGATCAAGTGTGTACTTATTCTGAGTATCGGTTTAGGGTGGCGTGTATAGATCAAGGTATGAGCTCTATATGCATGTTTTGCTCAGAGCATGGAGAATGGATCAATGAGTCGTTTGATCTTCATCATTATAACAGAACGATGCTAAGAAGTGCAGTTTCCTGCAGTGGGGAGTTGTTTTTCTTGAACCATAGGAGTAGTAGTGCCATGAATCCCTATTCAGTTGCTGCGCTTAATCTTTTCTGCCCGGACCTATCTGCCATTTATATTGATGTTGCAGCAGTCTCTGGGGGATGGTTGTGGAATGTTTCGGTCTCACAAGGTGCTCTTCACTTGGTTGGATTCCAAGAGAAACCCATGGCGGCAACTGGTTGTTCCAGGTTTTTCTCGAGTGTCTGGAGATTGGAAAGCAATCGTAAATCTTGGAAGAAACTGTGTGAAGGGTTTTTGAAAGCACCTCCCTTGAGCTGTAAGTATGGGATCTCGAGCATTCGGTTTCACTGTCTGCATCCAGAGAGGCCTGAAATTGTCTACTACGGTTATCGTAATGGTGACCGTGCTATTATGTCTCGTGACTTGAGCACGGGAAGAGATGTAGAGTTTGGTGAGCTGAGACTAGTTGTACCTCATTGGCGATTGTTCCAGCCTAAGGTCTCTTGTTGGCCCACCCCAATTGCTAGCTACGAGGAATTACGAGATATATACGACGAAAGCTGCCACTCTTTGATTCAGTGTTTTTATTATGAATAGGCTGAATTACACTATGAAAGAAACTACTTGATACTTATTGTTTATTAAGATGGATAATCAATCTTATCTTAGGTTAGAGTTAGTGTCCAATTTGAGAATGTGAAACTTGATTATGTGTCACGTTTCGCCCCCCATTTATGTGATTGAACAATTAATTCGTGATAACAATAATAATTTTATAGTTACCTTTTATTTTCATGATGTGATGCACCAATTATTTTATCTATACTGGCTTGATTCCCTACAAATGTATCACCCTCATTTAGGCGAGATGAAAGATTAACCAAATGTTATTTACTTATTTTACCTTTATCTTAATCGTTATCATCACATTCACATCATCAGCTAAGCCTAAACAGCATTATATTACAAATTTGCAAAGTTGAGTGACCAATCTGAAACTACCTGGAGATTTTTGGGACTTCATAGCAATTTTGCCAAAAAAATAAAATAATGGATATCTTATCGCAGCCCAAAGCCCAATCCAATACGGCCATATAAAAAGCCAACAGAAGAAGCAGTCCAGATAAGCTTATCATTTTCATTCCTCCCGCACCAAAGCGCGAAAAAGAAAGACAAACAAAAATGGCGGTGAAGATACGATTCGCAAGGCTCGGGTGCAAACACAGGCCGTTCTACAGGATTGTAGTTGCTGACAGCGAATCCCGCAGAGATGGCAAGTTCATTCAAGTCGTTGGGTTCTACGACCCCTTGGCAGGTCCGAAAACTTCCACTGCTTTCTGTTTGGTTCCTGGGAAAGTGTTGAGGAAAATGTTGGAGCTGGGGTAATGAAATTTCGTTTCGTTTTTGGGTTTCTGTGTTTTGTGGGTTTTGCAGCAAAAGAAGACACGAAGAAGATGAGCCTCAATTACGACAGGGCGAAGTAAGTCCACCCTTTTCTCGTTGAACCGTGAATGGATTGTTTTGTTTTGATTGGGAAATTGAACTTGGGGGAAATTGCACGTTCTTGGTCTGGATTTTCGTGTTAAGACTGTCGATTTCTTCATGAACGATGGACTTCTCTGTGATAGTATTTGTGTGGTATAAGGAGTTTAGAGGGCAATGATTCCCCTTGTTGGTCTTGTTTAGCATTTGAACTAGTTTTCACCTCTCCAACCTGAATTTAGATGGCTTATAGTAGCGCAGCCATTGAAATAAGACATTTGTTTTAGCTTGTTCGTTGTGTATGATGATGGTCTTAGCAGCTCTGAAGACTGTGCACTGAAGGGAACTTTCCCCCTAGGTTAGTCTTTGTTGAAATAGCTTATCACTTGAAATACTATCAGAAAATCAAGAGCAGTGGAATGAGAACCTTATAGCTATGAACAACTGAGACCACCCATGTTGTTAAAGTCTCGCCCTTTTTGCTCAAGTCGTTGTGATCTCCATGCAATAGGGAGTAGATTATGCTAGTTGCCCGACTTGGATTATTGGGTAAGACCAGGACTAACTATTCGTGAAATCTAGTTGGCTACTCGATTTCCTGCTTGTTTATGTATCTGGTTTGGTTATTGATTACTTGTTGGATAAGCTTTTAGATACAATGCAGATGGGCAAACAGTCTTTTGCTTCTGTCCAGTGTCCACCATGACCAGATGCCCTTTTGCCCTCAATAGCTTCTTCCTCTTCTGACTACTACCTATAGCCAAGTTAGGATTGATAATAAGAATGTTGGATGATATAGCAACTATTGGGTGTTTTTTGTTGACAGTTCCCCAATGCCATTTTCTGCAGGTACTGGCTATCGGTCGGTGCACAGCCTTCAGACCCGGTTCGTCGCATCCTTATGCAGGCTGGTTTGATCGAGCCACCACCGATGGTGGTAATGGCACGCAAGGGCGGCGAGAGTGGCAGCAATGATGATCAAGCATGAATGATTGACTGAGACAGAAGATTGAACGCAAGGGATGTAGAGAAAGCCTGCTGCTTTGATGGAGTATTTTGAGAGTTGTTTTTATTCATACTGATGCTTGCATTTTGTTTCTCTTTCTTTAAAAGCTGAAGAAGATACATGGAACTTCTTTCTTCTTCTCTGCCCCTTCACTTCTCAAGTTGCATTCCCCTTAATTGTACCGTTCCAATTTCATCAAGTTTGGTTTGCGATGGTTGTGGTTATCCTGTTACCAAGGATGGGTAGCCGGTTCGGTTTTTTTGGTTAACCAACCTTGTCAAATCAAAGGGGAAAAGAGTGTCATTTGGGGAAGATGAACATAACTCAGAAATAAGGGAATATCGATCATTCAGAAGAAAACAGGGTTGAACATAACCCAGAAATAAGGGAATGTCCATCGTTCGACGTTCAGAAGAAAACATAGTTAAAACCTGTCAGCTGTGGGGCCCACACGTTTAAGGGAAGGCCCAATCAGGTGGTCGTATGGACTTTGGCGATTAGTCTTAATCGGGCCCATTATTAACAATGTCATGACGGAAAGCCGGAAATAATAGATTAAGTGAACCTGTATGTTACGAACCCCAAACTTCAATGACCATTTTGTAATTAGTCTTGGTTCTTGCTTTGCTTGTCATGGGCCGTTCATTTCCGTGACAACTAAGCTGAAATACAGAAATAGCCACCGAGGAAAACTAAACTACACTTACGCTACCGCAAGGCTGTGAAGAAGCTTCGAACGTTTAGGAGAGATGGCATCTTCGTCTTCGTCACTAGCGATGAATCCGTTGACTTCTTCCCTCTGCAAATCCGGTGGACTTCCGCCGTCGAATTCCATGCTTATCCACCGCCGCCTGGCGTTCCCGGTTGCCTCTTCGCCTCACGGAACGCTGAAGCAGCGAAGCGTCATTGCTCGGCCGCATTTCGCGTCTCCGGTGGTCTGCAAGGCCGTCTCCGTCCAGCCTCAGGTCACCGGAATCGAAGGACTCAACATCGCGGAGGACGTCACTCAGGTTTGTTTTTTTTTTGGGTTTCGGGAACCTGAACTCGCGCCTTTTGGTTTCTTCTGGTTTGCTTGGAATGAATGATGGAATTGGAATTCGGATTCAAAGTTGTGATGGGTTTTGTGCAATTTTGCTGGGTTTTTGTTTGTGCAGCTGATTGGGAAAACACCTATGGTATTCCTTAATAAAATTGCCAAGGACTCTGTTGCCAGCATTGCTGCCAAGCTGGAGATCATGGAGCCATGTTGTAGTGTCAAGGACAGGTGAGGGTGTTACAGAATGCGTCGATACCACTAGTAGTGGTTGACGTTCCGGTGAATTCGAGTCGGATTAGCTGGTCTTGTAGCATCATTTCGACATGGTGATACCAATCTTATGGTGTTCTGACTTGACATTTGTGATACCAATATTATAGTGCTCTACTTTGCACAGAGGAGATATCTTCTGCTTGTTCCTGTGCTGTTTATGTGGACCTTTAATCTCTTTTATCTTAAGCTCAAAATAGTTTGTTTTGACTCCAGGATAGGATACAGTATGATTGATGATGCCGAGAAGCGAGGACTTATAACGCCTGGAAAGGTAACAAGCGACCATGAAACTATGTGATTTGTTTTGAGCCCATGTTTTCCCGAAGCCTGTCCTTTATGTCTTTGTATCGGTTCACTCTGATTCTAGTCTTCTTCGAATGTAGAGCGTTTTGATTGAAGCTACAAGTGGGAACACGGGTATTGGGCTTGCATTTATAGCTGCATCAAGAGGATATAAACTCATCTTAACAATGCCAGCATCAATGAGTATGGAGAGAAGGGTTCTTTTGAGGGCCTTTGGAGCAGAGCTTGTTCTGACTGAACCAGCAAAAGGTATGAAGGGTGCAGTTCAGAAGGCCGAAGAGATATTGAAAAACACTCCTAACTCGTACATTCTTCAGCAGTTTGATAATCCTGCAAATCCAAAGGTTAGCGGTCATTTCCCTCTAGCTGCTCCTTGTTTTACAGTGTATGGATACGTCTAGATCGGTTGATTAATTGCTAGTATCATTTACATGAATGTTTTGCAGGTCCACTACGAGACTACTGGTCCAGAAATCTGGGAAGACACAAGGGGCAAAGTTGATATCCTTGTTGCAGGTATTGGCACTGGTGGAACCATTTCTGGCGTTGGGCGGTTCCTTAAGGAGAAAAACCCCAAAATTCAGGTAATTGTTCTGGTTTCTGACTTTATGAAGCCACTCTTGTTACCCCTAGAAGTCTTTGTAATGGCTGTACCTTTGCCCTTCTGGGTATTGGTATTGGAAGTTACTTACTAGTGTCCTTTCATTAGTCCCACAAAGAACTGAGGAAGAACTGAGTTTACTTTACCTAAAAAAAAGAAAGAATAATAAGCAAAATTTGCTTGAGTATCTTTTTTGCTAGTTTTCTTGATTTGTTCTCAATTTGAATTCATCAGATAATTGGTGTCGAGCCTGTTGAAAGCAACATATTGTCTGGGGGAAAGCCTGGTAAGGACACCATATGCTGTACTCACCCCATGTGATAATCATTTTCATTCTCTTTTTTTCTGAAGTTCCATTAATTTGTTTCTGTGTACGCAAATTGAAGGTCCTCACAAGATTCAAGGGATTGGAGCAGGTTTCGTACCAAAAAACTTGGACAGAGATTTGGTTGATGAAGTTATTGAGGTCTGGCTCTTCCTTCTGTTATCTATCCTGGGCTTAATTTTTGTTTCTCAGTTAAATCTGAGATGGATTAGGATAATAACATCCATTCATTGCAGAATTGTTTAATTAGGGTAATAACATCCACTGAATCACTTTGGTGGCTGTACTAACATTTGTCATGATACTGAGCTTCATATCCATTCATTTCCTTGACCATTGTTTTACTCTTCCATTTGACATGATACTGAGCTGGGGTTTGCAATGCCAGGGTAGATGTACTAACATCTCTGTTCCTTAATGCGGGTTTTTGGTATTTGTATTATTTGATTCTTCGGGAGCAAGTCGTGATTGCAGCTTGTAAATGATTGATATGAAGCTCTGAATGATTGATCTATATTTGACAGGTGTCAGGCAGTGATGCTATCGAGACTGCAAAGCAAGTAGCACTACAAGAAGGCCTATTGGTTAGTTGCTGACAGCCTATTTTTGCCAGTTATCTAATAATACACCTCAAATTGGAATCTCAAAGACATCTTTCCACAACTAGACCTGCTCGATTCTCTATCTATGTTAGGCTTTTGTAATTGTAGTATTCTTACAAATACCATGATCTTCTATTGCTCTTGCAGTACTTACTCCTAATGTGCATTCTTGGTTTGGTCTTTAACAATATTATGTCATAAATTGGACACCAGGTGGGCATATCTTCTGGAGCAGCAGCAAATGCCGCAATTAAAGTTGGAAAAAGGCCAGAGAATGCAGGAAAGCTGATTGCAGTAAGTCCTTCCCGTCCCCCATCGAATTAAAACACGACTTAAAGATAAATTCTCACATCGCTCAAGTATACATGTTATATATAATGATGATGTGAGAAAGCATTCTGGAGTTTTCCATACTGCAGCTCTCTGTTTGCTAATGCTTTTGAGGCTTTGGTTTGCATTTTCCCAGGTTGTTTTCCCGAGCTTTGGCGAAAGATATCTGTCGACTGATCTGTTCTTGTCCATCCGACAAGAATGCGAGAAACTCCAACCCGAGCCATGAAACGTGATGCGCCTGAGCTCGACCATTTCAACGAATCCAGAAGAACTGAAGCAACCATAAAGAAATAAAAACAAACAAAATTTGCAGCCAAACTCTGAGAATCTGTGTTGTACTGCTTGGAGAGTTCATTTTTCACATTTGAAAGGATAGTAGTTGTTGTTCTTGTTGTAGCGCTCTGGTTTACTTCCACTTCTCAGTTCAGCAGCAACAGTAATTCGTACGTGGGCTGTTGGTGCCCCCCCAATGTGGGCTCTCGTTATTTGAAGCCCAAACTGTAAAAGCGGCCTGACACTATCGCACCGATAATGGCCCAAGTGGGGCAAAAAAGCCCATAACAAAAAATTCTCTTAACTAACTAAATACATTTTTTGATAAATTAATTAACTAGATATTTATTTTAGCTGGAAATTATTTTTCTTGCTCGGCAAGCCAAGCCAGGAGATCTAGGGGGATATAAGAAGGACAGGTGGACGGGAGCCCCTGAAAAGTGGAAACTCCGTTGGTTTTCATTCTCCGAGTTTCTCACTCTAAAACCCTGCGGAGGAGCATAAACCCGCGAGAAACCGCCATAGCCAAGAGAGGATGGATCACCTCGCAAGAGCTCAGGAGACGTATCGCCAGCTGCAGAGTGAGGAGAGAATGAAGCGGAAGATCGATGAAGTCCCCCCGAAACTTCTAGCGCAGCTCCACCCCGTCCAAGACCACATCAGTTTCACACTCAAGGTTCGCGCGCCTGTTTGGTTTCCGGGAAAATGCAATCAAGAATCCCGCTCTTTCTCGCTTGCAATGCGCTATTCGTTTCCTTTTTCCCGAATCCTTTTTTTTTTTTGTCTTCCTTCTTTGGTGATGTTTGATTGATGAGGATGGCGATTCGGTTTGGTTTGCAGAAAGCGATGTTCAAGTGCTCGTACGAATGCTATGATAGGGAAAGGAATCGGAATCAGGAAGAGGTAGTGAGCTGCGTTGAGAATTGCGCCATGCCGGTTCGTACTGCCCAGCATGAGTACGAGGAGGAGATGGCTGATTTTGAGGCGAGTTCTTTGCTCTTCTTTACCTCTCGTTGTTGTGATATTCGTAGAATTCAGTCGATTGGTTTGGAAGAATAAGTCTGGGAGTTTGGGCCGTACGAATTAAGTTTTTGAGTTACTGCAAACTAGCACAGAGTATGTGAAATTGTAGCAGGATCTTCCTTATCATTGTGATGTAATCTGTGGTTGCTTTTGAACATTGGTCTGCGATTGCAGTTTTAGTTGGTATACCGAAATTAAGCTGCCTCCATTAGCAGGGGGATTGTTTTGGGGTTATCTGTGGTTGCTTTTGAACATTGATCCTCTTCCTGTTGGAAACTCAGAGCCTCCAGGCTATATGTGCATTTGTAATGGATTCCTTTGGGACAAGTGGTCGGGGTTTTGACGCCATAGGGAACTAGGGTTAAGTTAATGTGAGGGCACAGACTTAGCAAGGATCATTTCCAGGATTCTCACTGTATGTTTAAGAAGCATTACCTGTTACTTCCTTATTGAAAATAAATCGGTGTGGAACATGCTTATTGAGCTGTTATTCGGTTGCAATAATTGGGAAATCAGTAGTTGGGGATTAGAGATCCGGGGAAACATGAAAGCAAGCTGCTCTTTGTTCTAAATTACCCATTCTTCATCATGAGAACAAGTTTTGATCTGTTCGTAGTATGTGAATCATCTCCTTATATGGGATGCAAAATCTCGATCCACCGGTTGCATCTCTAGAACCCTACAGGTCGTGGGAAGTGCCAGACTGATTGTTCTTCATAATAGAGTGCAGTTTTAAGCACTGCTTGCTTTAGCTGTCAAATTCATGGAAGTCAACAACTCTCCTGGTCTCCATGGTTGATTCTTTTCCTTCGATTTAGGGAACAAGTTGTTGAGACGAGCTTTTCTGTTTTAATTGATGCAGGCAAGGATAAAACGGTCTCTTGAGCGCTGCCAGAACAAGTATGAGAAAGATCAGATCACAGGAACTGGAAATGAAGACCATATGATCGGCATGGAGTCCTGCGTCGATGAAGCAATCAAGGACAACACAAGCTGGCTTCCACGCATTCTCTACAGGCTCAAAAGAGCGTGCTCGATGGGAGATGAGAAGAAGCAAGTGAACTAGTGTTCATGACAACAACAGGAAATTTCTGAATATGGTTTTAGGAAGCAAAAAGGAGAGAGATGTGAGAATCGCTCGGTGATGAGCAACAGTCATTTTGTAGATCAAAAGTACTTGCATATTTTCTGTTTACTTCTGTTTTGACACTTTGAGCACAATGCTATGAAGGGAATAGCCATTGAAGAGTTCAATTCATATTCATTTTCCATTGTTAGTGTCGATCTTGAGTTGGGTTGGTTTCATTTTCATGTAGAAATGGTTTATGAATTATGGGTTTGATGGACGGTCTTTAATCTGAATTGAAAAATTAGTGGGGAACTCTAACCCATATTTGGTTGAGAAACCAAAAAAAAAAAAAAAAATTGAATTATAAACACAAGTGAATTTGATGCAAGCATCGATTTGGTCTGATTTGATTACAAGCCACATTCTGGGCCGGTTTGGAAGATGACACAAAATCTGGGGCTAGTTTTACCAAACAGTAAAGTTGATGAACTCGTTTGATAAAAGTATTGAAGTCCAGGGGCCAAAACTCAACAAGAAACAATATCACTTCAAACGGCGTCGTATTGCAGGTTTTGGGCGTTGTTTTGAAACTATCTTCCCCACCGCTCCGCCGATAGAATAGATTTCCTTCCAGCGCCCGACAAAAATGTCAGCGGCGCGAGTTTTTGTTCCATTCCTGAAGGAAGCTCATGTAATGTAACCCTCAGAGATTTTGCAGTCTTGTGTTCTTCATTATTCCTTCCTAATTTCCCGCCGAAGAGTTAGCTTTCGTCAATGCTCTCACTGACTGACTTGTCCGAATCGTTGGCATCTGGGTTTTCAATGTTCATTGCATGAATTGGTTTCCTTGTATTGGTTCTGATTTTCAGTTCACGGTGGTGTGAGTTACGAGTTCGAATTTGTTACCGAGGAAGTCATGATCGATGTGGGTAGATTAATAGGGGCTGTCTCTTGTTTGTTGAGCTAGAAATTAAGTTTATGCATGCTTGTTCAAATATTTTGAAGAGCTCGATCGTGTGAGGAAAAAGGAAAGAAATGCTTTCTATCTGTTGGAAGATTGAGGCGTATCTATCTTTCTCTTCTCCTGGAGTCTTATTTTCGCTCTTCAAAAATGGTTGTCGCTTGGACTTGTAGTCGCCGAGGTTATTCGATCAGTACTTGATGTTTGAACAGCTCAAATATATGGGTTGATTCCCATACATGTTAAGATTCAGGTATCCTCCCGTACGTCGATTCCCCTAGACCTTTCTCAAGCATGGGCGATACTACAGTCTTGGTTCAGGCTCGAGACCCAGCTAAGCTAAGCATGGAGATAGAGACTGCGCGCAATAGATGAACATATATAGGTTCAGTGATTCATGGAAACTAACGGCTTATGCATGCAGATGGAAGGGTTTCTCAATCTCAACCATGGGCGATACTACAGTCCGTCTTGAGCAAGCTCCTAATTAACAGGCTGTTGCGGAGAATTACTCGATGCATGGTCGATGAAAGCTTTCTTTTGATCCTCGGGAGGCTGCCCCTTGTCCCTGCGCTGGCTGCTTCCAAGGTGCCATATATATAGTATGAAAATGCAAAAGGAGCCAAACAGACGTAGAATTAATTGCCACTTGACCTCACTTAATTATGTCATTTATCTGATAAGAGGATCGAGAGGAAGGAATCTTAGGTTGTTTCGAAACAACCAATAGAAGGTCGATTGTAAGACTACTTTAGATACAACGCTAGTTAAAAATTATTATATGCTACTTATTTTATTCTCAATTTAGACGAAGAGAAAATGTACATACGTAGCATGATTCATGAGAGACCGAGGCTCGGGCTTAGACAATTAGACATAAGCTCATGAAAAAATTGCTTTAGTTAGTATACTAATCTAGATACTTACTAAGTTCTATAAGGATTAACGAAAATGACCATCGCGTTAGTTATTTCAGACAAGTTTCTTGTAAAATCAAATTTCAGCTACCGATTTATCAATGCCCACAAAGTCTAATGGCCATTCCTGCAATTGACCATCACGTCGGTCGGTGGGCAAATATTCAAATTCAAAAATCTGCAGCATGTGAAGGCAGCCGACCCCTCCGTCGTTCGCGCGCAATTCCCCAGGCGAGGGATCGTTAATTACACGGCTACCGATCACCATTAACGACGCATACCTTAATTTCCAAGCAACTTCCTTCCCTATTCTTCGCTCTATCTATATAACCAGAGAACCTCTCCAGCAGATCGAAATCCGCCGCTCCCTCAGTTAACATCTACATCTCTTTCAATCGCCGCCGGTGGCCGCCGATTTTACAGAAAATGACGGCGATGCTGTTACCAGCAGCGTTGGTCGCGGCGGCGGTGATGCTGATGTTGGCGGTGGAAGATGGTGGCGGCAGAGCGGAGGCGGCGATCGGGATGCAGCAGCCGTTGAAGCTCAAGTACCAGTACTACAGGAGGTACACAAGTTGCAAGTACGCGGAGGAGTTCGTGAAGCACCAAGTGACTCTGTACTGGAACAGAGACAAAACCATCACCGCCAAGCTCCTCCGCTTGCTCTACTCCGACTGCTTCGTCACCGTCAGTCTCCCTTCCTTCCTTTCTCTGTCTCTCTCCCTCCGATCTCGTCGACATTACTATATACATTGAACTGTTGGTCTCGCCATGGCAGGGGTGTGACGCGTCGATACTACTGGACGGGCCAGACTCGGAGAAGATGGCTCATCAGAACGCGAGGCTGGGTGGGTTCGACCTTATCGACAAGATCAAGACCGTGATGGAGAGTCGATGCCCTGGCGTGGTCTCATGTGCCGATATCCTTAACCTCGCCACCAGAGATGCTGTTCACTTAGTATGTACTAACAAAACAGATGCACTCAGAATCTGACTAAAGCTTGTTGCACTTGTTTTAACTCTCCCTGCTGCAGACATCTGATCATGGTTGTTTGATGTGTTACACAGGCAGGGGGCCCATCGTATCCGTTGTTTACAGGGCGAAGGGATGGAATGACATCGAGGGCATCGACAGTGGATCTCCCCTCGGCTTCCATCTCGAGCAAAGCTGCGTTGGCATACTTCGAATCCAAGACCTTGGATGTTCTTGACATGGCCACCTTATTAGGTAAAATCTCTATACTGCATATCTTGAAGAACCAATCAAGCCAATTCTAGGTAGATGCAATTACCTTAGCTCTTACCACGCCATGGTGTACCCCCAGGTGCACATGCGATTGGAACGACTGATTGCAGCAACGTGGTCGACCGGCTCTACAACTTCAACAAAACTGGGAAGCCAGACCCAACCATGAGCAAAGAATTTGCAGACCAACTGAGGAAGACCTGCCCTCCTCCGAGTAACATGAAGGGACAACAAGCTAAGAGCCCCTGGGTTTATCTGAACCCGGATTCAGGACCCAGCTACCAGCTGGGGAACTCATACTACAAGAGGGCACTGGCTTACCAGTCTGTGCTTGGAGTCGACCAGCAGCTGCTCTACAACAATGATACCCGAGAGCTCACTAGTGAGTATGGTGACGAGTCCCCCTGGAAGAATGGCTTTGAAGGCTGGCGGAGGTCCCTCACCCTCTCCATGAACAGGATGGGGAACATCAATGTGTTGACTGGGAATTCAACAGGGGAGATTCGTAGGAGCTGCCGGTACACGAACCAAAGAGGCTAAAAGTTTCAACCAAACACGAGATGCTGGATGGATAAACAAAGTTGTATTGCAATATAAATGTGTTTCGATTCTTCTGTCAAATGTTTTCATGAATGTAGGCGGAGTGATGTAACAGATTACAAATAAGACAGCAAGATCAAGTATCTTGTATTCATTAATGGAAGAAGAAAAAGAAAAAAAGAAACAGATTTGAGTATGTTGGAGTAGACATCTATTCTATTCTATCTTCCGCTGCAGGAGGTGAGAACTCAACAGTAGGCCGTATGACTATTTATTTACTTTCAAGTTTCGACACCTTTCGAACTCTTTTTAGAACCCTATAAACAGACTAACAGAGATGATGAAGCATACGTTGTTCTCAATACAAAGAATCTGCTGTGTCTAACCGTATTGCGCAGGTAAACAAAAAAATTCTACCAAATGAAAACAGATGTATCTTCAGTTTCCTGACCTGATAACCAGATGAACCAAATCCCAGCTACTGGAGTTGCGCACTCTTGTTCTTCTGATGGGCCTCCGGAGAAGAGAGAAACAGGTAGCCACTGCATGATGAATGAAGAACGTAAGCTTCTGATGGAGCAATTCTAACATTAAACTAACTCCGTAGTTACAAACTTACAATTAGGACCAAACTTCAATTCTGAAACGAACTGAGCTATTTATCCACGCTAAAGTACATAAATTTCTTAATCTCACCCACATTTGAAAGATTAGATCAATAGTTTTGGCTAAAAGAAGAAAGTTCATGTCCTCTCAAGTAGAGAGTGGGCTGATAGCAAAAACCTATTTCATGCTCTTATTTCATATACTACCTCAACATTTACAAGATCAGTCCCTCTTCGTTCGAGAACTGATGTAAATAGCAAGCAGTTCAGCTCAACTAACTGACCATGCCCACAACAATTTGTACTCATTGTAACAGTAATCCATAGAGTTCCCAGTCAGCAAGGAACACTTGGTAAACTACTACTGGGAAGAGAAATGAATCCATAAACTGCTGAGACAGGAAATCAGTACACATTATATTCAAGAATTCTGCAGTTGTGGTGATAGAATGATGGGCGGGAGAAACCATTTTGTAACCAGCATCTGGAAATTGCTTACTCGACAATTTATGAAAGTAGTTACCTCACAAAAAAAATCTTCGGTGTTCCAAGAGTTTCTGCTCCATCTCCTTCATTCGCCCCTTCATTATGATGTTTAGATAGGTTTGTAAAGTTGGAAGTAATTGTGCAATGTGGATGGCAAGCAGATCGATACTCCGGAGATGCGGATAGTACAAACAAAGGAACTAAGTAACTCTCAACACTTTCTACTGAAGAAGATTCAACCAACAGAACCTTTGACCAACAGTTGCTTGAACTCGGCATCATCAAGTTTGGATACCAAGTCAAAATTGGAAACCCAAGCCTGACGTACCTAAGACTCTGCAGAAAATCTTTGTAAACCTACTCACCATTCTGAGCCGTAGGACCTGCTTTCTTGATTAGCTGATTCAGAAAGGAACCGCTATTATAAATGAATGCCAGGGAGAGAACTAAGGTACAATAACAGAAGATTGTATATATTCAATAACATTGAAATGGAAGACAAAAGCAGAACAGAAATTTAAATGAAAAATATTCAGGACTGTACCAGTACAACCCAGAAAAAATCAACAGAAATACTAACCTTGAAGAAATATTTCTTTCGAAGCTTGATAGCTGTTCGTATGCAACGTTTGACACGGATCTTTAGCATATTATCATTGAAAAGCTGGAAAATTGCAACAAATGAAAGTCAAGCAACCAGCAATACAAATGAAAAAACGCCCTAGACAATATAGCTCGCTATCCAGCCAGTTTGAGATCTAAGCAATATCTGCACTCAAAGTGAACCTACTTATACTTCATAATTCTGCAACTCAAACGAAAGGACAATAACAGGCAAACTAGGTAAGGCACACAGTTGCATTGAGAGACAACATGAGAGAGTGAGCAAGTTCATTGAGTGCCGCCCAAGTCCAATCATCATAAACTAAAAGAGGAAGAGTGATGCACATGCCTTTATCATATCCTCGATCGAGCGTGTTTCTTTGATGATTTTCTGACGGTTCATTATAAGAATTGCCGCAACACAGAAAACGGGTAATTCATCATCTCCATTTTTAGTTGATGACACAAGTGCGCTAATCTCCATGGGATGTTCACCTTTAGACCAAAAATTCATTGTCAAACCGCAGAGCGGATGTGTCAATGTAGACTTTGTTCCATTGTTCACAGTTGGCGACTGATCTGTATATCCAACTTTTGTTTCTGCTTTGTCCTTTGGGCAGTTATTCCCACTTGCTGTGCTTTCCACTCCTGTTTCTTTTTCAGCTTTGCAAGGTAGATGTAGCACCAACGCCTCCAGACAGCTTTTCTCTAAATTACAGGCCAAGGATTCATCAAAATCAGCAGCCCACATCATCTGAAATAAAGATGCAAAAGTCAGATTCAAATACAAACTGATGCAGCACCTCAATTTCATATCCAGCAAAGATCATCTCAGCAAGACACTAAAACATTATTACGCACTTGTAAATTGATTTGACCTTCAAACCTTAAGGGGTTTGCCTAGGGGTAATGTGAGGATGATAACATCCACCACACTCTGAGTTCAGACCTTGGGACCAACAATCATCTAAAAAATATTGTATTTTCTACCAGCAGGTACACTAATCATTCTTGTAGAAAAGCTAAGCCATAGTATATACATCAAATCAAGATAATATAATTAAATCACTAGCTTTCAGGTCATAAGCATCAATTTCTTCTTCTTTTTTTACAATAGCAACTTCAGTAGGTTATAACGCTAGACAAGATCCCTTCCTCTCGGTCCTCTCTAGTAGCACTGACCAAAAGAGAATCTTACAATTGATGGTAAGGAGATAATGATATATAATATTAAGTTGTTTCCCCTAGATGACATGCATCCAAACTACTGATGATTCGTCTCTACCACGAAATGAAATCCACAACATGCAGGAGAAAAGCATAAACGGGAAGCTAAAGCAGAAGACAGACAACCGCAGAGAGAAGCATTCCACAATTTGGTAAACTGTATGCAACTTCATGTTCCAAAAAACACCAAATATAAGCTCTATGCAAGCATATCGATAGGCTAAGATAAGGAAAGCAGTGTTCTGAAATCCACCAAAACTAAAACAAGTAAACAACTGAGGATGGCCAACCTCCCACATCCGAAGAGTTTCACTAAAGGAAAGCTCCCGCCGAAAAAGAACCATCAACATGCGGAAGGCAAAGTGCAAGCTTTCAGCGCCTATGTGTGACAGGTGTCCATAGATTTCCCTGTCTGAGACCTCTAATATGTGCCACAACGCCTGCAACTGCTTCATCACTCCAGTTGGTCCATCCATCTGAAAGTTCTCACGCTGTGTAGATGTGAAAACACAAGTTAGAGAAGAACACTGACAAAGCTGAAGAGGTGCTTAAACATTAGGTATACCATTCTTCTTAGAAGCATCTCGAAGCACCAAAAAGCATCAGCATCATCCTCGAATAGTACCACAAATGGAGAAAGCAAATCACTCATACCTAAACAAAGGAAGGACCAATCAAGCAAACTTCTTCTGCATTCCTACTGGAAAAGGGTAATGGAGAGAAAATCTGAAGGATGATTACCTTGACAATAACCAGTAGCAGGATCAATCCATGCATAAACTGCAAGTATATCAGACATTCTAGCCAAATTCCTCTTGTCCTCATAAAACTCGAGATGAATGTCTGTTCTTACCACGTCAACAACTGAAAGGAGAAGGTTGTGAGCGTAAGGGGAAGAATCACTGACCTAGACTTCCCATAAAAAATAAGTGGTTCCTTACCAATTCTATGCAGAGTCCAAAGCCATTCGGATACTCTATCTTCACCAGTGGGCCCTCGGTTGGAAGAATTTACAAGTGGTGGAATACCTGATATTGTCAAACCATTCATTCCCAGCTCTTGACAACCCTCATTAGTGGACCATACTGCTGTCTTATGGTCATCATGCGTAACTAATTCAATTTCGGAGTTTTTGTTACGAGCGCCATTGCTAGATGGTGAGCCATTGGATTCTACAATCAAATCATCGTTGTTGTTGATTTGAAAACTATGCATATTCACTTCCTCGAATGTCAGTTCCCGTCTTGTAGAAGGCGTGTTACTGGCCATAGCACTATCCTTCACATCATCGTCTCTTTTGTCAAACAAATTTGTCACGGGTAAAGGAGGAAAATCAAAGAAACCCCCTGATACATAGTGTGATCCGTTTTCTTCTTCGCCTCTCTCCATTAAACTGCTTTCAAATGTACCCGAATCGGCTATTAAATAACTAGAGTCATATGCTGCACTATCGCTGCTTCCCCTCACACTAACAAGCTCGGCAGAATCACTAGAGCTTTCTCTTTCACATGCATGTGATGCATCAAAGCCATTACCGTTCCAATTGCTAGAATTACTAGCACACTTCAAGTTGTCAGTGCTGTCTCTATTTTCATCTCTAGCTTCCACTCCCACATCAACCTTTGACGAAGTTCTCATATCCATAACTTTCGACCCCACAACATATGCAAGTGCACCAGTTCCAATGCTTGCATGCATTGCCTGACACTTTTTGACCAAATCTTCATATCGCTCCCTGCAGTATAAGCTGTTATAATGCCACATAAAAAAAATTGAATCATAGGAACAAAAAAGAGAAATGAAAGGACTAGACCTCCGAGCAATCCTCAGCTGCTTTCGGTATTCAGCCGTGCTTCCCAACGCGTAACAGCCAAGTAGAAATTCCCATACTTCAGCCCTTATGGATGGATCAACACCCTACCACACCAAATAGTTTAGTTGCATAGAACATAAGAACTGAGCAGCTTCAAAAGCATGACTTGTTTTACATCATGAAAGAAATAATTATTATTAGAGATGAAAAGTCAAACACGTGCTGGATAAATTGGAGAGAGGACTTAGAGTCGTATATGACCAGGCAACATACCAAGGAAAATTAAATAAAAAGCAAAGAGAAACAGCTACGGATGACCTTGTAGAAAATTGTAATTAAAACACTCGCAGCTATACAAGCTTAGTGGGAAGTGGTCCATGATAAAGCTCAGGTGCCTTTCTAGGGGCATATGATGAAGTCAAAGTAAAGGCAAACAAACAAAAAATTTGCCGCCACAGCACCTCGTATAAATGAAACTGATTATCGCTTTGTTCATAAAGGAAAACGAGAAAGAAATTGTTGATAAGAAAAGTCCAATAGGTAAGAGTTTGAAACAAACATACCCCCAGAACAATTGACTTCAACACCTTACGAAAGCCAGATACCTTTCCATCACTGTCAAAAGTTGCTTGCCACTTCTCTCGCTTCAGCATTCTGCTTACCTGTCCATCAAAGTTACAGTGTCGCAGATGAGTATTTCATATAATTTTCAGAAGCTAATCAAAGGAGTATTGCAGTTGGAAAAAAAGAATGAAAATAAGTGAAAATACAGCTATCCACATCAGACAAGTAGCACTGCATCTGATTTCCTAAGCTTCCCAAAATTGTAGAAGATCTAATCTGAATGCATGGGATAAATCATGAATGATCAAGTATAATGAAAACAAAATTTGTTTTCAAGCCACATATCATATAGTAACACCCTTGATCTTGAACAAGTTTGCCATATGTGTAAGAGCTACCACTGGTGGCCTAAAGAATCATTCCCTTACCAATCATGGACAAAAAATAATCTTATATTAATCAAGGCTAAATACAAAGAATAACTGGATCAGGGTTAAGAATTACAATATGAAATGTAAATTCAACAATCTGCAAGTTCAATTCACTTATGACTCCATTGTAGGATCATCTTCCCCAAGACAGTTGTTAAAATAATGGATAATAAGACGAGAATTTACCTTCTCCTCAAAGAGGAAGGCCGTACAATGAACAGCCTACTACAAAGCTTCTTAGATCACATACGACAAAGGAAACCTCCTACACAATTTCTTGACCAACAGGTACAAAGGAAAATTTCACCTCAAAATAATCATGGAGAATATCTGTCGTGTCATGGCAGAGCTTCCATTACAAATTAATATGTTCAACTACATTTTATTTGAAATTGAAATACTGAGATGTTTAGACAAGCTTTTGGTTTGTAAACATGTAGGATCCATTTTGGAGTACCCAACAAAAATTAAATTTTTAATAAGAAATTAATTACTCCACTCTTTATATTTTACCAAACACGATCCCAATAAAATGAACAAAATACCTCAGTTGTCAAGTTGAAAGTAACAAACTAAACATAAATGTCAAATATTTCTGGTGGTACTAACTTTTTGGCTGGCCAAGCAGGACTGAAATCTGAGATAGACTGTTTCAAGCAAAAACCCAAAGATCAGGAAAATATCCAAATCAACCCAGCAGCAGCATAAGACCAAACCATCCAGATCTAACAGCAATCATTCTCACATTTAGGATGCCAACATCATGATAACTAATAAAGGATTTATAAATATAAATAATTCACTATTGAATAAGAAAAGGTGATCTTCCACGTCCAAATCACAGTCTGACTGAAAATGGTAGCACTATCAAGGTTATTACTTATTAGATAGCATTCCGTTTCTGGGAAATTTTAATTGTATCCAGTCAAAATCAGCATTTAATACACCTCATTCTGCAGCATATCAAAGTCAAATGCTGGTGCATCTGCACATCAAGCATTCACAGAAAAGATACATCTAACTATGAATAAAAAGCTGATAAGCTTTTTCTAGCACTCAACTAATTATTCGGGATATCCTCAAATCCACACCAATGAAGCTCATTTACAATCACAACCTTCCCCAAGTCAATCCTAAACATAGTCGCTTCATAAAAAAACAATACTAAACATAGTCGCATTTCAAATTCTCTAACCCTCTCCTACTATTACATTTGAGAAGCGTTTCCTCTAGTCCTCACACAGATCATAAGCACCAGAGTGATAACCTTGTAATTATGAGATTGACACATTGGTAACCTTGAGGTTGGCACAACTTATTAGCTCCATGGTAAGGAGCCTACAGCCTATGTTAGCAGCCTAAAAATGGTAAGCATATATAGATATGTTCAGAGGAGGATTATATAGATAATTATTAAAAATGGGTAACATTGAAAGAGCCTGATAGCTATGATAACCTTTACGGGTGATTGAGAAAGACAAGGCTCGCCAATTTCGCGCACCATCGTAGTCACTCTTTGCAAATTTACTACTCTGGGCTTGCCGCAACTCCATTGCCTCTCCTCTCTGGTGGGAGACATTTACTGCTTTCACAATTGCAATCACGCACACTCTGTTATCCCTTCCAAATAATTTGATCTTTCCTTAATATCAACTGAACATCAAATGGATAAACCATCGAGCTTAAATCCTACAAAACAAGTAAAAACTCATCAGTAAGATCAAACAAGGCTTCTAATACTAGCTTGTTATCCGGTCCATTGGCCGGGTTATGTTTGTATGAAATGGTAGTAGGGCATGTCCTACTTTAAAAAAACATCCAATCCAATTGTCACTTGATCAGTTTGTTTGGATTTCTTTAATTTGTGGCGTTCCGGTATGAGTGTGCATATATCTGTTATCGTAAGAGAACATACATTGATTGTAGAAACATTAAAATATTACTTCCTTGCAATATGAAACTACTGCAAACCTACATAATAATAATTTTGATATCGAACTCAAATTCCACCAACCCATAACAATTAACAACGCATATGAGTTAGTCCAAGAAAAGGGAATAAAGTTTCAGAATATTAAAGTCAATGGAAGGCATTAGAGAAAATGGGAATGGTGATTATGGGATTAGAGAGGTGACAGGAAGGATGCAAGGGCACAAGCACGATGAACTATCCCTTTAGGTCACCAGTTATTACTATCGCTATATAAGCAGCAATGGAAGTTATGAACTCTAGTTCCCACACAGCCAATCTAGTTCATAGGACGTACAACACCATAACCATCATTTATAATTCCGTAAGCATAAAAATAAGAAATTTAATCATGTTGTTATAATTTCAAGTCACCACTAAGGAATATAGGATTTTGTACCTATGCAGCTTTCCTTAAGCAGTGACGCAGTTTCTTGAGGAGCTCCTAATAATGTTGAAGTCCTAGAAATGAAAAAGGATGATCCAAGGCAACAGGTTGCTGAAGATGTGTCTTCACCTGTGTTGTTAGCATTGGAAGAAGAAGAAAAAGAGAAATACCAGCTGAACCTGCAAGTTGACAAAATGACTGGTTAGCTAAATGGTTGTTCATGGCACCAAGCATATTTGGATTCGACTATGCTTCCAGTTTTGTAGCATTCACTGTCGGAGGCTAATGTTCTAGCTAACATTTCGTTTAAAAGCCAGTACAACCATGATAATTGCAAGAAATGTGCCTTGACTGCACTTCTTGTTATAACTTATAAGGCCTTGTAACTAAACAGTAATCTTCGGTTGCATATATTGCACTTAGATTTAGTATCTGTAGATTGTGTCTCTAACCATTATAGGTCATTCTTATTCACGACGGGTAAGCTGTGTTTTCATTTCTCTCGGAATATGAGCTGCAATAATATAAGCAGCCTAAAAGAACAGGCAAAGTAGTATTTAAACTCGATCATATATAAGTTCAATGAATCATTTTGTACTACTTTCCAGCCATAAAATGCTCAACCCGACAAAGTAACTTACACCTCCTGTTTCCCCATTCCCTCCCTCCCCTGATGTTTGATTAGAGCGGCTCGAGTATCAAAGTTCATTTCGTTTTCAGATATGTGAAGTTAAGGAGCAAGGCAGCTATTGTTTCAATAGTAGAAGGTAAATGTATAGTGAATTGACAAACCTGCTAGAAGAAACTGGGCTCCAAAGCGAAACCCAGAAATGGCAGCGGCAGCTTTTGTCCTGGACCTAGCATAGCAATCCAGTGAGCAGAGTCGAATTTCTGGTGCCGCAGTCAGGCGTGCTTCAAGCCGTTGTTTCACTGGAAGAATCGGATGACTGGAAAAGCTAGCAATTGAGTAGTGGCAGGCATAGATGCAATTGAGTCTGGAACGCGAGGAAATTCGTCGATTTTGATGGCGGGAGAGGATGTGAACCGCGCTTTGAAGAGCAGATGTGGCAGGCGATTTCGGAATCCAGCGTGAATCGATCAGTTCGCAGTATTGACAGATTCTGTAGCGAAGGAAGCGACTGGGGAGAAGATGAAGATGGTGATCGGGTGGCACCCAAGGTCTGGAAAAATTAGGGCGTACAGTAGTTGCGGTGTTCGGTGGGGAAGAGGCGTTTTAGAGGGTCGGAGGAGAGCACGTCGGGAGAGAGATCGTCGCTGGATGCTATGGCGGATGACGACGTAACTGCTCGGAAAAGATGGCGATCGGCCGTGTCGCGATGGTGATTTGGAGGAGGTTGGGAGTGGGGGGATCAAAGGGAACCGCCAATTTGGGGGTGCTGGCCTGGCCGGTGGGTTTTGACTTGTGATCAAGGTTGTCGGTTCGCCCTGTTCGATTCGCCCGTTTCCTTTGATCCAATTTGCTCAATGGGATCCAAGATCATTACACGTTTGCCCAGCGAGGGATCCAGAGGCTTGTTTTTAAGCTCAAGGAATTGGTTAGACGAATTGATGGTAATTTAATTAAAATAAAATGTAGTTTTTTACTTATCACGATGAATAAGAAAGTTTTACATGAAAATCAATTATGATTTACTTGTATTTTAGAGATTTATGAAATTTGCTCAATATTTCATAAACTTATTTAATTATTATAATTATCATTATATTCATACAGGATTGTTTCTTTTTTCGGAATCTGTCTCAAAGCACATGGAAGAATAAGCACTTGAATTTTATTCAATTTGTTTTTCGTTGGTTTAATTGTCTATTGATATGTGAGGTACAAATTCTAAATATTCTACTGTTTTATTCAAATAATCTTAGTTTTCATGCTTAAAAAAGTCATCCTCATTTTTTTTTAACTAAGTAATCCTCCACTATTTGATGGAAATATAACAACTTTTTTTTTTACCAATAGATCACGGAAATAACTAATTAGTCATATACAATCTCCTGATATCTATGACTATCTTCTTTTTTATTATTATTATTATTATGGATTATTAGTTTGATCATTCCCTATAGACATTTGATTTATATTTGACATAATATGTTTGTCTACGACCTGTACATTTGGAACCATCTTGAAACGTTTAATTTTATTAACCAAAATGTACTTTTTCTTGACGATCTCATCAAAATTGGTACTTTCTTATAAATCTTGTCGAATAGTAAATTATAAGAAGACCTCGCTAAACTCTCATATGGTATTTGTAACAACTTATAGAGGTAATCCGAATTATAGTGGGAATCGCTTAATTAAAAATATTCAATCAATGATGTTTGAAATTCTCCAAGATTGACTTAGATTCTCAAAACTTTCATGGATGCAAATTGAAGATAGAGCTTTTGAAAATGATTAATACTATAGTTGTATTACTTGGTTAAAATATTCAACAAAGACGAGCTAGAGAGTATTAATAATTCCTCTCTCACACCTTACATAAAAGGGAAATACGTGGAGAGTCTTGTCATGTTGCCCACCTCTCAGCCATTCAACTGCATTCTCTAGTTTGAATAAAATCATATGACTATCCTAGTAAATCTCTCGTTATGTTATTTAGTTATTTAATATAACTGAAAATTATCCTGATCCAAATGGTAACATTCACATTTAGGGTTCGTTTGGTTTCGGTGATAGTTTGGTTGAGATAGTTACAACGCATGCAATGTCCACAATGCATTGTTTTTATGAATTTTCTGCGCAAACAATACATGCATTGTTTGCTTAATTTGACACAAACTATCACTCAAAATGAGTGATAGTTAAATCTCAAGTTTTCATTGAGATTGTTTGATGAAAATTGTTGTGTTTACTTCTTCTTCCAAATATGTCCCTACAACACACCAATTTTCTTATATACATGTATATTATTATGCATGTATTGATGACAACACATCGATTGAACTATCACCAAAACCAAAAGACCCCTTAATTCTTGACCGCAACACATATAGCTCAGCGAGATATAGGGTAACATAGGACCAATAAAGTCTGAACATGACAGAATGTTGGTGGCATAAACAGAAGTTCAGGAACTCTCCAATCCTTCCATGCCACAATCCCTCTAGAGTCTAGACCGCCTCTCAATCAAACTGCTGCGAAAGCTGGAAAAAAAAGTTACATTTTTTACAAAACATGGTGAAAATTATTTATTAGCCAACTTTTACAAATTATTAGCCAAATCTTTTAAAATACAAAATAAACTGCAAAAAAAAATGACTAATATTTTGAAGTGTTACAAAAAAAATTTGATAATATTTTGTATTTCGAAAGGTTTGACTAATAATTTGAAAAGTTTGAAAGGTTTAGCTAATTCATTGTATTTACCCAACAAATAAATCATCAGTTCATTTTATAGGACAAATTCATTGTAATTAAAAATGATTATTATCCTCTTTTCATCCATGTTTTACATGAGAGAGGTGTGTGTAGTGTAAAGACTCAAGACCTGAGATTTCTATTATTAACTCAATGTTTATATAGTACAAGAGTAACAGAGTGTTTAACGGAAGGAAAGTAACAGAAAGAGTGAAAGCTGGAGATAAAGGTGGAGTACAACGTTCCACAGTTAACAAATAACAAGAAGCCTAGTAGGCTGGAAGCAGGTACACTTCATCACCCCCCCCCCCCCCCCCCCCCGCGCAAGTTGAGGCTCGGAGAGTCGAAACTTGGAGCAGAACTTGATGAAGGGCTGTCGAGGTAATGGTTTAGTGAGAACATCTGCTAGCTGATCGGGAGCCGGTAGAAAATGCACGTGAAGCTGTCCTTTGATGACTTGATCACGCACAAAGTGGAACTCGATTTCCATATGCTTCGACCGATTGTGGAACACTGGATTATGAGCAAGGAAAGTGGCCCCTAAGTTGTCACACCAAAGAGCTGGAGCTGAGGGTAGTTGCTGTCCTAATTCAGTGAGTAAGGACTGTAACCAGAGGACCTCCGAAGCAAGAGTAGCAAGAGCACGATATTCACATTCGGTAGATGAGCGTGCAACGGACTTTTGTTTCCTTGTAGACCAGGAAACCAGATTGGATCCGCAGAATACAGCGAACCCAGTGACAGACTTGCGATCCTGTGGGCAAGATGCCCAAGAGGCATCTGAGTAGCCATGAACATGAAGAGATGAAGATTTGGTGATGACTAGGCCACGGTCGATAGTACCTGTCAAGTATCGTAGGATCCGTTTGACAGCGGCCCAATGATTATCCGTCGGAGAGTGCTGAAATTGAGAAACATGATTCGCCGCAAATGCAACGTCGGGGCGAGTAAAGCTGAGATACTGCAGACCACCGACTATACTGCGATACATAGCTGGATCTGTGAACAGAGGGGAAGAGGACATGGCAGACTGCTGAACAATCTCATTTGTGCAGGGTGTGGAGATCGCATTCGCCTCGGACATATGAGCACGTTCAAGTAAATCCTGTATGAATTTGCGTTGCCGAAGAAGAATACCAGTGGGCGTGCGACACACTTCAATGCCAAGAAAATAGGATAGAGGGCCCAACTCACGAAGCGCAAAGTTGTCGCGGAGAAATGTGAACAGCCTCTGGATGATAGTGGAATCATTGCCTGTGATGACTATGTCATCGACATAGACGAGCATATAAACCCGAGTTGGACCAGTCTTATAGATGAACAAAGACGGATCAGTTCTGGAAACAGAGAATCTGAATCGGGTGAGTGCGGCAGCAAGACAACTAAACCATGTTCGAGGCGCCTGACGGAGACCGTAAATCGATTTTCGTAGACGACATACATAATCGGGCTTGTCGGGATCGACAAAGCCAGCTGGCTGCTGCATATAGACTGTTTCCTGCAGGTGACCATGAAGGAACGCATTTGCGATATCAATTTGATGGAGAGGCCATCCTTGAGTTACCTCCAGACCAAGAATTAGGTGAAGCGTTGCAGGCTTGAGGACAGGGTTGTATGTTTGTTGAAAATCCAGGCTCGGAATCTGCTCATAACCACGAGCAACCAAGCGGGCACGGCGACGATCCAACGAACCAGTAGGGTGAAGTTTGGAGCGGTAGTCCCACTTGTTGGAGAGAATATTGCAGTTGGGTGGCGGGGGGACCAAGTCCCAGGTGCGGTTGCGTTGCTGCGCATCGAATTCCTCTTGCATAGCCGAGCGCCAGAGTGGGTTCTTGAGAGCCTGTTTGACAGAAGTTGGAGTGTCATCGATGTGGAGAGTAGAGAGAAAGGTCTTGGGTTTTAGGTTTCCTGTTTTGATTCGGGTTACCATGGGATGGTTGGAGCTCGTGGGGTGGGTAACAGTGAGTAGTCTGGGGGAGGTGGAAAATGGAGGGCGATCTGAGATTGGGCGGCGAGGGGGCAGAGATGTTGGTGTTCGGCCAGAGGGAGGGTTTGAGGACGAGGGAGATGGAAGGATGGTAGATGGAGAGGGCGGGTCAGTTTGGGCTTGATGGCTGGACTGGTGTGAGGAGGAGGAATGGGAAAGTGGAGCCGAGGGCGAGTGCTGGATAGCTGTAGATGGGGGAGAGGGGATAGTCGTTACAGGGCGGGGAGGTTGGGCGGTGGCAAAACGGCGGCGCGTGTATTGAAGAAGAGGGCGAGGTGTGGGGGACGAGATCGATGTATCGGGCTGGGTAGGCTTGGATGGTGGATGTGGGAGTGTTGTAGGAGAGGGATGATTTGGGCTGGGAATATTAGCTATAATGGGCTTGGAAATGGCAGGGGGTGATGGGCCAGGAAGAGCTGTAGGTGGAGGGGGAAGCAAAATGGGTTGGTAGGTGGAACGGGTGGGTAAAGATGGAGAGGGGGAAGTCAACTCGGCAAACGGAAAACGAGCTTCATCAAATAAAACATGGCGACTAACATAGATCCGACCAGTGGGAATGTGAAGGCAACGATAACCCTTGTGGAGCTTGCTATACCCAAGAAAAACACACGGAACAGAGCGAGGAGCCAATTTGTTGGGAGTGAGCGGACGAAGCCAAGGGTAGCAGAGACACCCAAAGACTCTAAGATTAGCGATATCGGGGGCGCGATGAAAAAGAAAATGAAATGGGGAATCATGAGCTAGAAGCGGAGTAGGTGTACGATTGATTAGATAACAGGCTGTGTCGAAAGCAAGAGGCCAGTATTTCAAGGGTACACTGGAGTGATGGAGAAGAGCAAGACCGTTATTAACGATATGCCGATGTTTACGTTCGGCACACCCGTTTTGTTCAGGGGGTATAAGGACACGAAGAGCGATGAGCAATGCCATTTTGGGCGAGATAAGTGGATAGAGCTTGATATTCGCCACCCCAGTCTGATTGAAAGGTTTTAATGGGGAGGCCAAAAAAAATTTCCACTAATTGCCGAAATTGAATAAACACATTAAGCAATTGTGATTTATAACGAATAAAATAAATCCACGAGAATTTGCTATAATGATCATAGAAAAGAATATAATATGATTGCTCATCGTACGACAAAATAGGAGCAGGACCCCATACATCACTACAGACGAGTTCGAGAGGGGCTTGAGTAGTGAACGTGGAAGCAGAAAAAGGGAGTTTGTGGATTTTACAGACTGCACAGCCATGACACAAAGAAGGAGGTGATTGTTCGAATTTTATTTGATGCTGGTGAAGGACTTGCTTGACCGCACGTTCGTGAGCATGCCCAAGCCGACGATGCCAAGTTTCAAACGAAGCCACACAAGCAATAGGGGAAAGAGGCCGAGAAATAGTGAGAGGAAGCGAGTAAAGACCGTCCACGGCAAAGCCACGATGAAGTTCACGCCCCGTGCGTTGGTCCTTGATGAGAAACAGAGAGTCAAAAAATTCAATCGTGATAGGATTAGAACGAGTGAGAGAGCTAATGGAGAGAAGAATATAGGTTAAATATATGTTATTTTCTATGTCTAATATGAAATCAATGGTCGCACTTTTTATTGATCCCTTGTCTCCTGAAATCTCTAATGAGGAACATAATATGTTTATCTTCATAAGCAAGAATACCTGCCAGGAAAATGGGTTGATATTTTGCAGAGCTCATGCAGAATAGTATCTAATCATTTGTGAATTTGTGAACTCTGTTTTACGTTGGAGATTAGAATGGCTAGAGCTTAAGAAAACATCCTTTTGGTATATATCCAAACTTCGTGCATTCATCTTTCCACCTAACTTTGCTCTTTTAAACGAGATCATGTTTTCATTTCGTGATATTTTCCACGGATGTAATTATTTGCATAAGTTAGTTGCACTATCCAAATGTACAGTTTAATTGCTTTCACGTTGTGAATTGCCTAAATCACGGTTGCAGCTTTTACTTGGCCTAAATTTTATCTATCTGCAGCTCCTTATCCAGCTTCGTGGATGCACATGTTCTTTGCCTTCCAAGAGTGAGTGAAGAAAGGATCCATTACCAAGCTAATCGACCTGCCAGTTCTCGAATTCCTTATATTTTGACTTTGTTGAAGAGACGGGGAAGGATCAAGTTTCCTTTTGAACTTATGTCCTTTGAGATTTAAGTTGAACAAGCTGATCTTAGAAGGCAAAGTGCATCTGTTTTTCCCGTTACCTTATGGAAGTCTAAGTGACCATTATGGCCTTTGTACTAGCTAGGTTGAATATTAATGCGAAACATATTTTTCTTCTTCTAAGGGATTTGCAATTTCCTCCAGCATTATGGTTAATGTACTCATCGTCTCTTTTGTAGCATGCTTATATATGTTATCGTTCTCAATCTTGCTTAGCCAATGACCCGTTAAACAATCATTCCAACAGTTCTGAATCCCGCCGCGCAGCGCGGGCTTCTTATTGCTTAAACCAACGGAACATTACGTACAGTAGAGCAGCTTAGGCCTTTTTCTTCCAACCCCCGATCCCTTGATTTCTTCTGCTACCATCCATGACATGACTCCACTAACAAAGCCAACTTTCAGCAATACTAACACCAAGCTTCCAAGTTCCAACTAACCCGAAAGCGCTCGGGTGGACACAAAACAGAACATAACGAAGAACAAAGTGAAATTAAACACGATACCAAACAACACAGTTTTCCTACTTTTAGTCAAACTAGATAATTGGCCTGTGCTTCGTTGCGGCTTATCTAAAAATGTATATGTCAATTAGAATTGAAAAATATCTTAATTTAAATGAAGGTTGATGATATTAGAATACGAAATAAGTTTTTCAATAATTGTTAACCTTTGGGATACGAATGTAATTTTTTATTAAATATTTTTTTTCAAATTTTTGGATACACATTACAAAAGCTATAACAATGAAATCAACTAATGATGTTCATCCAATCTCGATTGAACCAAATCTAATGATACTTAACAAATATTTTTTTTGAAAAAGATACTTAACTTACAGTTAGGTGGTAAGTCATTGTGTGTGTAAATTTCTATATGTAATGACCTTTAAACTTGGACAACGAACATACCATAATTAATTTGGCCAGAACAAAGCCTACTAATGAAGTATAACATGAAGTTCTTGCGTGTGGGTCGTGTGAATAGTGGTCAGGCTAATTTAGCTACTTTAATTCATTAGTAGTTTTTTTTATTTGGACAGTGGTTTGTTAGGGGTAATCGAAATTTAATGGCCATATTAAATCTCATTAAGGGATGAAAATACTTAGTTATTCCATATAACCATGTCCATGTGCATATTAGTTTTATCCATATTTAATGAGTAGCGATTTAAGTTGATTAGTAATTAATCATTACTTGGAAAGTCAGCGACCAAAACCCAAGGATTGCCATATCCAAAATATTGTTCCAAGCTAGGGGTGGAAGTTTGGTTTAACTTTTTGGGATCCATCAAATACCACACAAAATTTATCATTATTTTGGTATTATCGATTACTGAGTTAATTTTTTGGGTTTGTGATTGACATTGATTTTTTAGTAGTATTGAATATTCTAGATATGCAATTGGAATTGATATATACCAAGATATCGAGCATTCCCAAAAAATTTAACATGATACAATAAACCTTCCCTTAACTCACGAAGCTTCAAAGCCCTCTCAAATAAATGAAGGACAAGGTTCATCCTTAATAACCAAATGTATAATTAACTACATGATTGTAAGAAATGACTAATTCTTATTGACTTATGTGTATACTCTATCTTAGAAGAATGAATTGCTTAGTTGTATTGATAAGTAATTATAGTTAAACTAAATTGAGATTTAGTGAATTATAAGTGATTTAATAATATTGAAGTATAAGTTCTGTACATATGATTATAATAAATGGCTAATTCTTGTTAACCGATGTTTATGTTTATGATGAAATATTTTAGAAGAATGAATTATTTGGTTGTATTGATGAATGACTAAAGTGAAACTAAATTTAGATTTATAGAATTATGAGTTATTTAATAATAGGCAAGTATAAGTTTAGTCAATTGAACATAATACCCCCAGTATTTGTATACTTGGGAGTATAAGTTGCTATACTAATATCATATCAAACTATTTTAGATTGAGAATGATTTGATCAGTATTTAGTATTTGAGGTACCAATAAACTTATTTCTCCTAGTCATAGCAATGTCCATACACTGATTAATGACTAATGACATGTAAAACTTGCAACTAAGTATGACATTTAATTAGTCATGAATCTACGACAGAAAAATGTGTGAGAAGAAAAAAAAACTCTTTAACATAAGTCCTAGTGAAAGAGGAATCTTTCCTAATCAACAGCTCGAAAAACGTGGGTTAAAAAGAAAAAATTTCATACATGATAAGAAAAAAAACTCAATTAAGGTAAGTCCTAACGAAATGGGGAAAATTGCCTAATCAACAGTTAGAAAAACGTGGGTTAAAAAGTAAAAAAAAAACTTATACGTGAGAAGAAGAAAAAACTCATTTAGGGTAAGTCATAGTGAAAGGGGGAAACTTGCCTAATTGATAGTTAGAAAAACGTGCATTATGGGAAAAATATAATTTTTAAGGTAAGTGTTAGGTGGTCATTTAGAAAAACGTGGGTTAAAAAGTTAGAAAAACGAAATGGGGAAAATTGCCTAATCAACAGTTAGAAAAACGTGGGTTAAAAAGTATAAAAAAAAAACTTATACGTGAGAAGAAGAAAAAACTCATTTAGGGTAAGTCCTAGCGAAATGGGGAAACTTGCCTAATTGATAGTTAGAAAAACGTCCATTATGGGAAAAATATAATTTTTAAGGTAAGTGTTAGGTGGTCATTTAGGGTAAGTCCTAGCGAAAGGGGGGAAACTTGCCTAGCTAATTGATAGTTAGAAAAAACGTGCATTATGGGAAAAATATAATTTTTAAGGTAAGTGTTAGGTGGTCATTTAGAAAAACGTGGGTTAAAAAGTTAGAAAAACGAAATGGGGAAAATTGTCTAATCAACAGTTAGAAAAATGTGGGTTAAAAAGTAAAAAAAAAACTTATACGTGAGAAGAAGAAAAAATTCATTTAGGGTAAGTCCTAGCGAAAGGGGGAAACTTGCCTAATTGATAGTTAGAAAAACGTGCATTATGGGAAAAATATAATTTTTAAGGTAAGTGTTAGGTGGTCATTTAGGGTAAGTCCTAGCGAAAGGGGGGAAACTTGCTTAATCGATAATTAGAAAAACGTGTATTATGGAGAAAATAAAATATAATTTTTAAAATAAGTGTTATGTGGTCCTACGGTACACTCTCTCACATCCCACCAGACCCCTTAAGGATACTTGTACTTTATATATACTAATAAAATATAATTTTTAAAATAAGTGTTATGTGGTCCTACGGTACACTCTCTCACATCCCACCAGACCCCTTAAGGATACTTGTACTTTATATATACTAACTAATTGATATTCCCTCTCCCTGACTCAAACTTCAGTCGCGCGAGTCGGGTGGGTTCGATCCTTCCCCCAGACAGTGGTCAATGGGCTCTCACGTTGCGTGCTCGTCCAGCCGGAGTCAGTCGCACAGTTCCTTCACAAGCTGCAATATAACATAACATGCAGTTAAAACTCTATCAGCAAGGTGCAGTACTATAGCAATATAACTACTAACTCCCAATGCTGCGGTTCAGTTCAATTCATTGGGGGGAACGCAGATCACCAAGTGCCAGCGTGAGCTGTTGGCAGCTTGGTTTGAAGTCAGTGAGGAAGGCACGTTCAAAGGATTCGCGACCGCCACATTCAGCAGCCAGCTCCCCAGTTGCTCGATTCAAGTCCGTCAGCTGGTACCTGCTCGAGAAGTATTCTATTCTAACGTAAATTACAAGTTACACCGAAAATGGCTGCAGTGAGTAGCGATGCGAAGGAAGACAATTGTGTGGAGTGGAGTGGAGTCTTCTACCTCTGGAATATTGCCTCCAAGGCTTCCTTCTCGGCATTCATGTCCACGCTGTCCTCCTCCGAAGTAGCATTGCTGCAAATATAAAAATATTAATCAGAAAACAAAATCGAGTGTCAAGAGAAGACATTAAATTAATCATACATTACATATACCTGTGCTCCTCCAAGTTACTCAGAAGTTCATTCAGCTTCTCCATGAGGGTATCGATCATCCTGATCACCTCCCGTGGCTGATGCAACACTTCCTCAAACACGTCCGGGTTGGCGAGCACATGGTCGCCCCGCATTTTCGCCAGCTGGGCTCTGATCCGGGTAATTGTGTCCAGCCGGTGCAGCTCGGTCTCCGTGTGAGTGTCACTCATCTGGCGGTAGACGGTCAGCTGGTCCAGCGAATGCTGCAGATTGCGGAGGGTGGTCTGCCGCACGGCGGCCGCCTGGCTCAGCTGCTCTTCCAGCTCCGCTATCCCGATCGTGGCGGCGGTGTTCTTGTTCAGCTTCGAGACGTCGCTCTCGATGTCCTCGATGGGAAGACCGGAGCTCCAGTTGACGTCCCTCCACCTCTCCTGATTCCAATCTGCCATTTCTGAAGTGAACAAGTGTGGACAGAGAGCTGCTCGTATCTTCTGTTGGATGAGTTGAAGGTTGTAGAAGTTGGACAAGTGTGGTGTGTATACAGTATATATATGAGAGCAATGTTTGTCGTTTGTAATCGTATACAAAACACTAGATTGTACCCCGGTCCGTTGGCCGGTTGCAATATGGTAATCGCAATTAACAAAGTTTCAAAATTTAAACTTCAGTAGTATCCTCTTCGCTATATCAATGTCATGCGAATTAACAAATAATGACATCATTTTAAAAAAATAGCAAGACAGTTTTTAGTTTTTATCTCTAATTTTTCAATTGCTTGGAAAATAGAAAATAAACATCCATAAAGAAGATTATTAACAGTGCAATCTCTCTCTTTTTTATTATAAACATAATCAAAATAAAATAATTTGAGGTGCATTTATAAATTTCAACACAATATGAAATAATAAATTTAATCGGATAATAATGTTACCATGAGTGAAATTCAACCTCTTGAGGAATATCAAGATTAGATAACATCAAGGTAGCTTTAATTTAAAAGAATAAATTTTCACCCACAAAATTGGTCAATCATCAATAGATGAATATTAATAACTCATGTACTCAACTAATAAAGTAAGAAATTTTTACGTACCTTGATGTTCAGAGACAGATAATGGAATGGCTAATATAAACATAGCATCAATAACATGATTTGAACTCATTGAGAAATTTTTTCCCCGAAATCGACTCGTAAGTGCATTTTGGCAAATTAGCTTTGAAATTTACATGCATTTATCATTTCTTTGAGGAGAAAGCAATGGCATTAGTGATAAATTAAATTTTAGTCAAATTTTTTTTAACACGGGCTAAATATATTCCTTAACCTTTGAGTAAAAGTGACCATATTCTTGAATTGTTAAGATAAAAACCATATGAAACTTTTTCTTTTTTAAAATGATATAATTGTATGCCTGTTGAAGGACCCCAAAATAGTTGGTAATTTTTTTTTGTCATCCATATTATATATGTATTCTATCGAATGCGTTTAAAACTCTCATTTAGGTATTATTATAGAGTTGTTTCTTTATTTTATTTTTATTTAATGCTTGAAATATTGGACATGTATAACACGTTTAATACACATATTTTAAGGAGTTAAACTGATAATTCATTTATTTTATATTTATTTTTTAATTATAAATTTCTAAATTTTATCATTGATACCAAAATTTTAAATATTATATTAATTGAGAGTTACGTATAAAACTTCATACATATTAATATTGCAACCACTGAAAACGTAACGATTTGTTGAAAGGAAGACCCGAACAATGAACCCCCTATTTGAACCAACATCTTCACCACTAACCAACCATGACTTCTTAGTTCATATTTAACATCTAACTTATTTTGTGACATAATTTAATGTTCCATAAACGACTTTTATATAGATACATTGAGAGGTTAACATCTACTACGATTCCTTACTTATTTGGTGTTTTAGTAAGTTTAAGAATCGTAATGTAATTTGCCAATTTTCACGTTTATTGTGGTGTGAGGATGACAGTATTTATTCAAGGATATTGGCTAGGCCGAACCCTAATCTCCATAATCACTATCAATAAGAAAATCACGAGAATGTGAGTTTTTCGTGAAGTAATATCGTTCAAATCGAACGAGAAAACCTTTTTCTAATCGTTTTCAACATGAATTAGTTACCTATGATTCTAAGGTGATAATGGTCCACTTGTTCGGTATTGACACCTACGAACAGATATCAGTTTTAATTTAAACAATTAGTGGATCAAATTGCAAGTTTTCCGGAATCTTATGTAGCTTAGAGAAACTTTTCCGTCCCCTACTTTTCTTTCGTTCGGTTATTCTTTGGAAGGGGGAACACAACTGGGAAATGGAAATGGAGGGTACTGAGTTGCAGGCGAATCGAATATAGTCCGTCACCTTGATCCTTCCAGCGAAGATTGATCGGAGGTCCCTCGATTCCGTTTTTTGCCAGAGAGGATCCGTGGAGAGAGAGAGAGAGAGAGGGACGAAATGGGAGAGAGAGAGATCGGCAGCTGAGGTAAAATTTGACAGTGCTAGAGAGGACTCTTTCGAGCTTTGCAATTAGCCAGTGGCGATCGGAAGTGGAAGCTCGAGGAGCGGCGTGTGGTATCGTCGCTAGATCACTGAATCTCGCTGTTTTTCTCTCGCTCGCCGGTGCTTGGAAGCCTCAGGGTAGCGATTTCTATGCCAATTATCTTTCTCCGATTGCTTGACAAATGACAATACAATGATTCCTGAATGCGGGACAGGAGATGCTTGTTCAGTTAGTATAATAGAGCGACTGAGGTCTTTGCCTGCATGTTTAAGATCGAGTGAGGGCTAACTGTTGTACGTCTGCAATGCTTCCGGCATAGAAGAGTGATGTGTTTGTTTTAGGCGAG